TCATAAGATAAAGTAGTTATATAAAGATATATCTGAAGAAAATATGCTACCAAACTCTACTTATACTTCCGATACATAACTTGCATAATAGTATAATGTCGCTTGAAACTTTCGAAAGTAATAACTTTGGTCAACGCATTAGTTAGATTGAGTTATCTATCATCTTAGATGACTATTTTAGCGCACAAGCTTCTTTGTACAAACAAAATCATTCTAACTTTTTTTTTTTAGCAAGAATTTCAAGTTGACATTGATCTCAGATGAATATTTCAGCGTAGAAGCTTCCTTATACCTTAGTCTTTGGTTTATTCCATGTACCCACAGGAGTAACTTTGACCTTAGAACATAAACCTCGTAACATATATAATTACCATGCGAGAAAATCCAAAAGTAAAGCTAATACAGGAATAATTTTTACACAAGAGTTCACTAGAACTAAGCAATAGTCATCATAAGATAAAGTAGTTATATAAAGATATATCTGAAGAAAATATGCTAGCAAACTCTACTTATATTTCCGATACATAACTTGCATAATAGTATAATGTCGGTTGAAGTTTTTGAAAGTAATAACTTTGGTCAACGCATCAGTTAGATTGAGTTATACCTCATCTAAGTTGACTATTTCAGCGCACAAGCTTCTTTGTATAAACAAAATCATTCCAACTCTTTCTTTTCTTTTCGAACAAGAATTTCAAGTTGAACTTGATCTTAAATGAATATTTCAGCGCAGAAGCTTCCTTATACCTTAGTCTTTGGCTTATTCCAGGTACCCACAGGAGGAACTTTGACCTTAGAACATAAACCTTGTATCATATATAATTATTATGCGAGAAAATCCAAAAGTAAAGCTAATACAAGAATACTTTTTACTCAAAAGCTAACTAGAACTAAACAGTAGTCATCATAGGATAAAGTAGTTATATAAAAATATATCTGAAGAAACTATGCTAGCAAACTTTACTTATACTTCCAATACATAACTTGCATAATAGTATAATGTTGTTTGAAAATCTCCAAAGGAATAACTTTGGTAAACGTATCAGCTACATTGAATTATCGTCAACCTTGATTAGTTCAATTGTGTGATTATTAACTCCACCGATACCGTTGTTTACTCTTGATCATTAATCATATAATGATCAAACTCCACCACAATTATATACGTGAATGAAAATCTTCATTTGTTACAAGGAGAGTTTGAAAATTCTAAAGTTTTGAAAGAAACATCCATATTGACAAGAATCTTACAAGGTGCTAGATTCCAAAGCTTGGGAACACTTTGGCATCATAGACACACATGAAAACAAAAAATCATTGTAGTTTTTGCAATGATTTTTTACTTCTTTGTCATATGTTAGCTCTCCAAAGATATTTAGAAGCATTAGTTGCGCCGAGAGCTTTCCAACAATACACAATTTGCATATATTCAAGTAAAGATTCATACGACAGAAAATTTATATATAAAATATTTTTTTGAAAATAATATTTTTAACAAAAAAATATGCAAACAAAATATATCGAAAGCGGCACATATCTGCATCGAGATTCATCTTTTCGAGATCGATGCATGGAATTCAGATTTGCCGCAGGTGCAAATTTCTTTGCTTTGTCCAGAAAGGAAATCCTGATTAAAGTTGGGAGTGAGTTTTGTGTGCGACCTACTTGTTCAAAGATGCGCAATTCCACGTAAATAGCGTTGGCTTCAGGTTTCTTCGGAAATAAGAAGCATCGAACTGGACAAATTTGAATTGTTTGAAATACAATGCATGAAAAAAATATTTCGGTTAACAAATTGAGTAGGTAATTTCCTTATTCAAAATTTTTTGAGAAGAGGCGGAAGCGTATTTTAAAAAACTCGTTCGCAAAAGCAAAAATTGCGATCACGACATTCGTTTGGCTCCCAATTGTTTTGGACTTCTAGACAAATGCATGAACTAGTATACTATAGTCTTGCATTGTGCTTGATAACAATACACATACCTCACCCACAACTGCGCGCAACTCAACTGTACCCAACCATTACCCATCCATGACATCTTGTTCATACCCATTATTCACCCATGGCACTTTGTCTATATTAATTACCTATCGATCAGTCCATCACCAAAATAAAGCTATTTAAGAGATATTGTAAACTCCATAAACAACAAGATTTATGGAGTATGAATTTTGAATGTAAGTTCAAGTCGCATCCAAATCGTATGTAGTGTCGACAAAAAGCAGGTCATATGGATACTTTAACTTTGCACTGACTCTGCTCTTTGAAGTTTTGAGAGTAAATCATTGCAAAACATTATAGTCTTTGATATGTAAGCTTCTTCTTCTTTAAATCTTGGATTTGGATATGTACAAGTTAAAACATATTGAGTTCATAAACTCCGATGTCTAAGATCTTAGTAAAGCAAGAAATAATTGGTGTCGGTTGCTTATGCGAAATGAAATGCATCGACTTAATTTTGATAAATTTCAAGATAATGATCATGATCGACGAGTTTTGATATACCTTCAAGACAACAAGTTTTTTTGCACGTTATGAGGTTAAAAATCCAAGGATTGGATTGAATATGCTGGAAAGATTTTTGTAGACCACAATATTCTACTTTACTCCACTTCGATCTACAAGTAACATTCATTTGGTTATGCTTAAAGCATGTTTTTACAAAAATATTAGTTATTCAATGTATGAATTAGACTTTTTGGCAAGTTTATGACAAGTAATAACTAATGAGCACAATGTGATGATTGGCTGTTAGCGTGAGACAATCCGAATGTTCAGTTGTTTTAAAGACCGAATCTTTCATATCTTTCCATTACCCACACATGTCTCGTATCCACCAATTGTGCCATGGATATAGGAGGATATTGAGCATCCATGCGTATGTGTATTCATTGTAGGATTCTGTTGCTGACATGAATAGAGTAACTCTTATTCGTCAAGATTAGCAAACGAGTAAGAACAACTCTTGATCTCACACTACTACTCTTGCTTCTTCACTCACTCTTGGTTTTTTTAACCTCGAACACTTCATAGAAATACAAATTTATAAGTCTGAAACTCCTTGTTGAGCCGAAATTGACTGCCAAATTATTCTGGTTGAAAGTTTTCTCTCACTTCAACTTAAAAATTTACTTGAGAATTTTTTTCAAATCAACTTCACGTGTTCATCTCGACATAGAAGTAAAAAAAAAAAAAAAAACATATACAAAATAGTAAATTGTCAAAAGAAAAACATTTGTCACAAATCATCCACAATCATCAATCATGAAAAACGATCAAAACTCAAAATCATTATAAGAACATCACAAACTTGTCAAATCTCAAAATTGTCACTCATTATAATTTCCAACCAAACGCTTATCAATTTATTAGCATTTAACCGAAGACCTCAAGTGACAATAAACACGAGAAGTCGAGATATTAATGTAACGTGATTCACCACAAAACTTTGTACACGATAAAAAGTCATGTGTGACAATCAATTGAGTGTCTTGTATCATACACAAACCGTGGAGTTAAATATTCTAATACCGGCAATACTCCTAGTTATTTTTAGCTAGGACTTGAGTTTTCTCCTTAATCATAGTTAATCTCAATAAATGTTTATTACTAATGATTTTGAAATTATTTTAGTTCGTTATATTTAAATTTATGTTTTTTATTTTATAATCTATTTTTTATTAAGTCTTATATTTTACTTAAATTCAATGTTTAACTTATCATTTTTTTTTCAATTTGATTGTATAAATTTGTTCTATGATATTTTTGTGAATATATAATTTTATTTAATTCTTATTTGAATTTCAATTTTCTGCTCCTAATTTCAAATACTTCTTAATTTTTTGGTTTAATTTTTAAATTTAAGAAGTCTGTTAAATTATTAATTTTTACACAAAATTTTCAATTAATTTGAATTGATTTCATTTCTTATAATTTATTTTTTATAATTTCTTACAATTTTGGAGAATTTGAATTTGAATTAAAATTATTGACTTTTTGTTGATGAGATTCATATATCAAATCTATGCTAATTTATATTGATTTTCGAAAATTAACTGTATAATTTTGAAGATTAGATATTGGAATAATCCTAGATTTGAATTTTAGATTTTTTTTTATTGTGTGTTTAATTATCTAATAAAAAATTAGATAATCATTTATATATATATTTATTAAGATTATATTATAAAAATTTTGACTTTAGTGACTCTAGAAAATTTAAAAATTTTCTACTTTTTAAATTCAAAAACATCTGATATAATTATTTTATTTATGTAGATGAATCATGATTTCTTATAGCATTATCATTACATGTGCCGAGGGCACATGTCACGCGGTGATTAACTGTTAACAGCTGTTAAGAGGGATAATAACACATGACCGGGATTCTGCTATACTTACTTAGACAGGGAGAACAAGGTTGTTGGTCGATTATATTTTTAATATCTACAATAGTCAGCATGGGGTACTGACAAAGCCCTCCAGATTAATTATTTTTTGCAGTCTGGGATAAGGGCGAATTGTTTCCCCCCCGGCGTCGTAGTGTCACACCGTCAAAATAATCTCACTGCAAGAAAAATACTCGAATGAAGTATCAATGCTATACTGACGCTATTGTGACCCAGCCCCATGTTTCCCGCCCGGTTTATTATTACCATTATTTATGCTCTATAGAGGGAAAATCTCGCGCGTCGCTTAATTTCTCATTTTGTAGGGGAAAGTCACGTGCTCTCTTTCGTGTCGGAGAATATGAGAGGCTTTCTGAGAATATGGAGGGTACAACATTGGCTGGCAGAACTAATTTGGTTCTCGGATCCAAAATCACATCATTTCAATTCCTTTGTTCTGATTCCGATTTCGGTCAGCATCCCAAAGTAGTCAATCTTGAAGCATGAAAGTTTCCACCTATATCTGCACAACAGCGACTCTGATTCGTCTAGCTCTGGGGTCAAACTTCGACCATCACCTAACATCAGAGGCATTTCTGGGAGAAAACGAAATTGGCCAGAGAACGACAAATCGTTTCAGAGAATACTCTGTAGCCTGGAGGCGCTTCGGGAGCACGAGTCGCGCGATGATGGGTTTAAGGAGCGAGATGACTGTACACGGAGAGATTATTAGGTTCGGAAATTGACAGTCGCGAGTGGAGTCATGAAATCACGTCGGTAGGCGTGGAAAAACTCTGCGCGAGGTTTTCAGCATGCAATAATTGCGGAGCTTGCTGGAAGTGGGATGTCAGCAAGACCCGAGAGGACGACTTTCCTCGTACATTGACATTGACTGGAGTAGTGTCGGTAGAGCACGGCTGGCAGGTTAGCCAAGTGGAATCTAGGATCTTTGGAATAGCATGACTACGTTGAACGCACTCCAAAAAATGGCGGATCGTTCTCGAGTTTTTCGAAGCAACCATTCGAGTATTTTGGCAGGTGGAAATTGGCTCATCTGCCCGCAGCTCGCCCCTCACAATTTGAATACGTGACAGCTTGGTCTTCCAGGAACTACGAGCATTTTATGATTTCAGCGGCGGACGCATCTCTGATTAATGTTCGATGATTCACGTGAGGGTTTCAGAGGTCGAAGAAGTTGCCTGCAAGTTCTCGAAGAAGGAATGTTTACCAGGAAGCGGGACACGGGGATGACCCTCGTCAAGTGTTCTTCGTAGAGAAGTCTGAATGACGAAGGCGAAACGCGTCATGATCGGAGCTGGCTATGGTTAAAGCAGGAGATGGGTTGTAAGCTGCGGTGGTTTGATAACGATTCTGTCATTGAAATGCTGCGCCAGGAGCTTGATGGGTAATTTCTGAAATCGGATAGTACGACACTGCGGTCTTAACCATTCGAACCCAATCGATTGCGCGGGCAAGGCGACAGTGCCAGAGTACTCCAGACTGATTTCGCACGTGGAACTTTTTCCTGGAGAATAAGTAGGTAAGGTACCGGAGGAAGGATACATGAGAGGTTGCTTGGCCCCGAATTAGCTCAACGCATGTAGCGTTTCGAGGCTTTCGTGGACATTTGCGTGCTGGTGGTTTCAAAGCGTTCATTGCACCTTGTGACCGCTGTGGCGACAGTCACCCGATTAATGAGAAATTTTAATGCAATCTTCGATTTTAGCTTGATATGGCCGGAGTGAGAACCTTCAGAATACTGGCCAGAAAATTGCCGAAGTTGAGTTTTTTCTTCTGATCATGAGTTTTTGTCACAAGTGGACATGTGGTGCTTTTAGACATGTTCCACACTGTGCCGTCCAATTGGCTCTGGAATTTCAACAGCGAATGCAAAATGAAGTTTTCGTTTGATGAACTGTTTGGGTGCAGCTGGTAGGTAATTTTCACTATTTCTAGTGGATGACACGAATTTGCAGTCGCGAGTTGACAGTACCAAGGATCCAGTGACTGGAGTGATCAAAATGGGGAATAGGGCAAACAGTTCTCTTTTTGAATCAGGAAGGCACAGATTTTGTCTAGGCATGCTTCTTAGTATCGGCAGTATTTTTACCGTGGTGGCCTACTTCCTGTACCTCCATCCTTGCGAGTTTTTCGGCTCTGAACTTTGTGAAAGGCAAGGTCCGGCAAACCCTCCTCCTGCTATCGTGCAAAGAACCTACACTGATGCGGAAGTTGCCGCTCACGCTGTTGCCAGAGATGTGCTCGCACGACATTCACATGGACGTCCGCCTTTCTCTAAAATTGCCTTCATGTTCATGACCCCTGGAAACTTGCCCTTCGAGTCAATCTGGCATGAATTTTTCAAGGTGTGAGGATTACGCTTGTCGCAATTCTCATTGACAGCTTGATTTTCTTCTCAGGACCAAGTTCTAAACTTTGCAACTTTACTCTATCTGTGTGTAGAGCTGGCGAAACATCTCAAGTTAAACTTGTACATGCAAGCTTTATTTCTCTGAAGGGCATTCAAAGTTTTCATCTTGTCTGTTCTGAACGCACAGGGTCATGAAGGATACTTCACTGTTTACGTCCACGCCTCAGAGAGCAGCAACTTTGAATGGAAGAGCCCATATTTTGTTGGGAAGGAGATCCCTAGCAAGAAGGTGTGCTTCTTAACTTCTACTGTACTACTGTTTATAGCAAACAAGCACTATTTCAGACTCGAATCCCCGACATGAGAGTGACTATCACGTCGAGGATTGCTTCTCATGGTATGAAAGTGAATCATAAAATCAGGTTTTCTGGGGAAGGATTGAGATGGTTGACGCGGAGCGGCGGTTGTTGGCGAATGCGCTTCTGGATCCCGCCAATATGTTTTTCGCTCTTCTCTCAGAATCGTAACCTCCTACCCTAATTTTTTAACTCCCACTGCAATAGATGGAGTTGCATCCTTTGCATGAAACGTGCATCTACATGTGTTGCATGCTGTGATGACGAGGGAGTCATGTGGACTTTAGTAAACGGGCCTACAGTTGTCTGCCTTTGAAATTTTCTTCCGAACTCGTCTTCACAATAAGGAGCAAGTTTCTGAATGTTCCTAGACTAAGTTTCAAAAGTTTCTCGTTAAGTTCTGCCATGACATATATATATTGTAAACTCCGTCGTCCTGCATCAACAATAATGTGTCGATCGGAAAATCTTGACGGGATAACGGGTAGCCATGTCCTTGGAGGAAACCACAACACCTTTTTCTTGTATGTGATGGGAATTCGTGCAACTCGGGCGTCTATCTTTTGGGTATATGTAAATCAAGTCTTTGTCCATTGTTAGCAATGAATGCTGCTCACATTTCTCAAAATTGGTCCTTGGTGAAGGTGCATACCGCTTTTTGACTTCGAATACGTCTACAGCTACTTGGTGAATGCCGAAACAAGCTTTGTAGATAGGTACGTCTTCGTACGTCAGCAAGCCATTTTTTTTTTAGCAGAGGTATTATTATTATTGAGTAAATATGTTGGACATGGCTGATTCTCCATGATCGTGCCAAGAAAATATTTTGCGTTGGTAAATTGAAGACGTATTTCGCTACATTCTGTGTCTTCGTTGACATGTATGCTTGAATTCCATTCAGCTTTGATGATCCTGGCCCACATGGAAGAGGTCGTTATTTGGACCACATGCGACCAGAAATTAGACCAGAAGAATGGCGGAAAGGGGCACAGGTAAGAGGCCTCTTCGAAAGCTCATATGGCTCAAGGAATTTGAGTGTAGTTCTCGCTTATTAGCAAATTTATAGCTCCTCAAAACGAAGTGAGTTTTGCTAGGTAATGTATTCTTCATCCTTGAGTATCTAAATCTTTTTCTGACGTTGGTGCTACAGTGGATTGCTGTGCATAGGAAACACGCGATAATCATTGTGTTGGATCACGTGTACTACAACAAGTTCAAAACCTTCTGCAAAGTAATACATTTTACTTAATCGAACCTCTGTTGTTTTAGCACTGAAGTAAGAATGTCTATGTATTACCTCGTTCATTTTTCATGTATTCAGAAGGTCAAAGAGTAGATTCTTCTATACTGTACACCGAGTAACCGCTCCATCTTTCAATTTACAGCCAGGGCCAGGGGTTGACCAAGAGAATTTCAACTGCGTAGCGGATGAGCACTACATTCCCACCCTGTTGCATGTAAGCTCAAGCAAAGCAATTAATTTTCGATCTTGTTTCTGTTTAAGACAACGTCACTTGGATGTCTTCGGTCCCAGTTTACAACTATTTAGGTGTATTCTGCCTCTATCAGTGATTTAAGGATCGCTCTTTTTCTCGTATTAGCGCTACAAGAAGAGTTCTGATAATGTTTCTTTCTTTCAGATAATTGACCCAACAGGCACAGCCAACAGGTCCTTGACATACGCAGACTGGTCAGAGGGAAACTGGCATCCTCGGTCTTTCGGGAAGGATGACGTGACACCTTACGGCTTCATGGAGATGCAAGTAGGCCTTCTTCACCTTTGCTAGCAAACCTGTGAAGTTCTGTAGTGTCTTGTTCTTCACTGTTGCTCTGTTTTACCATTCTCTTCCATGATATTAATTCCACGGTAGTCTGCATCTTGACATATGTCATTCCAAGTCAAGAGTTGATTGCACGTCCTGGAATATGATTGGGAAATATCAAGAATTGCAACCAGAGGAACTGACCGAGGGTTTTCTGCTGATGCTGCCAGGTTATTGATACAATCACCCACAAGACAAGTGAAGAACCAGTAAGAGAAGATACTTCTTATGGATTTATTAGTAAATCTGGAGTCCTGAATTATGTTTTTCGGTTTCTTATTTAGCGAGAGTTGGATATCATGGTGCGCAATTTGCTCTACCCCTTGATTCTCAAACCATTGCCTCAATGCAAGCAGGCCTGATTCTTTTATATCGTGCTATCTTGCAGGCCAGAGTAGAGAGTGAACCATGCATGTGGAGTGGAAGCCAGCATCCTTGCTATCTCTTTGCGAGAAAGTTCAAGCCGGAAGCTCTCGAAGCCTTGGAAGAGATCTTCCCTAGTGTCACCCGAACTAACCATTGACACTAAGTCCGATGCGGAATCTCTTGCAGCTCAAAGTTCGAGGAGATGCTTCTGGGTTGTCTGGTCGTCAACAGATCGAAGCATATGCATATAGTGACTTCAGCAAATGATCACTCTACCAAACTCTACACTACGTTTCTCATCTTACAACGTTGTAAAGTTCATCTGCTTGACTGCTCCTGGCCTTTTGCCAAGCAATTGACGTGGCACGTCAGATTACACCACCTACGTGTCCAACAACTCCTGAACTCTTTTAAATGTCTGCCCACCAAGTACATGTACTGGATTTCGTCTCACCTTTGTCAGTAATTATACAGCACGTCTCTCAACATACGTCGGCCCACCATCTGGTCTCAGAATCCGACGACTGGAATCACAGTCTGGAAGGCACCGTACCGCACAATGAACGCGTGATTGAATTCGAGCAATAGAGGTCGGTGATGTTATGCATGGTCTTCGAGGAGATGTGCACGTCTCGACAGCTCTTCCCAGAAGAAACACACCAGATCCATTAGAAAGACAAGGAAGTCCAAGGAAGTCCAATTCCCACCCGCCATAGTTTCGTTCGGTTCAGGGTCGGAAGTCGCACGACCTCAACACGAAATTAATCTCTTCCACTGATTTGAGACTAAGTCAGATTATTGTACACTGCACAGTGCACACTGAATACGGCTGCAGATTGAGAAAGTACCAGGCCGTACCAAAGTAGAAGACAAAATCTGTACTCAAGAGGACTGCTGACGATGACTGCGTGATGATTCATCGATTCCTTGCTTCAAGAGTCGATCGTCAACTACCGACAGTCGAGCCCCACAGATTCCGGATCCGACGACGCCACGGAGCGGAGACAGTCCTCTCGATGCTCGAGGCACAAGTTGATGATTACGGCTAGTCGAGAGCACGGGCGTTTGTCGAGAACCGATGGGCGTCAGGTGTCTAGGTACGGGAGATTACGAGGCAACGTGATGCTGACAACGTCGGGACATCGTCCGAAGGCCACATGCTCGAGAGGGCGAGCAGGCCGTACCCGAGGAAGGCATCTCAGCAGACAGAGCATCCATGAACGAGGAAAAGCAGATATCGTCCGAGGAGCAGAACATCGCCAAACTCTCCACCACCACCACCACCACCGCCCTCCATGCAAGTCGCTCCCGAGCCCCGCACCGACGTCACGGCCTAGCCCGGCAAGCGTCACGCTCGAAGCATCGTCCCTACAGTCGTGATAAGAATGGAGCAGCTAGAATTGCAACCTCGTTGCTTGGACGAAGGGCCGTGCGAGGCAGCCAAAGGCCGCTCGCCACGCCCTCCGAGCTCCTCCGAGTCAATCCTCGGGCTCATGGCAGTCGCCAAATTCGGAGAACAATCCGACTTCTGATGCGCAGCGCACCCATTGGTTCGCCACAGCTCCGTGGCTTTCTTTGCCCTCATTAACGGTTTCCCTCTGCGCTTTTCGTCATGGGCTCCATCGCCGTCGCCGTCTCCGATTACTTTGACTCTGGGGTGGAGTTGCTTAGAAGCTAAGTTCCACGACTGAAGCTCGATCGAAGAGGTAACTTGTTCGACGGTATATTTCCTCCACTGCGTTATAGTGTCCCATTGCTTCGAGTGGAAAGATGAAGCTACGTGAGAATCGATTGAGACTTGCGTAAATGATGAAGGCGATGATTGATGGTGAAACCATATCGGAAGCTGAATTTCACATAAACTCATGTAATCATAATCATAGAACTTGAACTTGAGTCATTATTGGACAAAGTTTTGCAATGAGATTTCTAAGTGTAAGCTTGAAAGAATGCACTTCTTAGGCATTTCATGTATGTAGAATCCAAAAGTTTCAAGATTTGGATTCAATGTGAAATAAAAAACAAATGAAATGGAGAGTCCCGATGTGTTATTGCTTCATTATATCTACGATAAGTAAACAAATCGTAATTGTCATGCAGCAATTGTTGAAGATAATGCATTGAGCAAGCTTATTGGTTCGAAAACCTAAATAGCCAAGGCAACATTACAGGAATCTGTGCGAATGAATTCGAACAGATTCCCATGATTTTGACCCGGCTACAAAGAAATAACAATTAATATGTAGATCGTGGTCTCCGTGAATACATTCTTCGGCAGGAGTCTCTCTTGATTCATTCTAGACACATTTACGGAGGCCTACATATAAGATGTGACAATTGTAGAAGAAAAGGGTCAATCCAGATGTCGACCCAATGAGTTCCAGATGCAAAGTTCAATCATCGAAGTGAGCGGAATTTGTGAATGTGGAGGTCCAAATCTGACGGTCTCGGGGAGAGGAGGCAAAATAAAGAAGCAACTTCGCGTGTGCACAACAAAGACGTAGAAATGAAAGGTCCCGCAAGGAAACATTGGGCACTTACCATCTCAGCATCCCCCAGATTTGAGTCGATCCATGTCTTCCATACGCGCAATTTCACAACCTTTCCCGACGTCCTTCTTTTCGTCTCGTCATGTTCAATAAGAAACAATTATAGTTTTTTCTTAAATCCACCGAATTAGGCTCCCCCTGAAGTCCCTCGCACCTTCCGCCGTGAACTCGTGCTCCATAGCATCCAACAAAATCTCTCGGTGACGAAGATAATGTGATGAAGGTGCAAAGCCATGCGGAGCAAATCAAATCATCGCCGCCCCAAACCTACTCCGGTCTTGTTTCTAGTTGTGAGGAATAAACATACAACCAATTCACCTCTTCTACGAAGTCTCACGAAACCGTATCTTTTCCTATGGACGTAGAGGTGGGAAAGGATCGAATTAAAATGTGCTCGCTGTTTCTTGCATTCTTGAAACTGCAAGGGTTCTGTGGGAATTTAAGCAAGGAGAAGTGTGAATCAATGAATTCGTGAATTTGTCGCGGCAGGAGAGTTTTGGGGCATCTTGGAATCTGCACGGGTGTTCGAATTTCGTACGCAAGGAGTCCCATATGGCAGAGGGAGGTGGAGGAAAACGCGGAAGTGGACGTCAGTCATGGGGAAGGGAGCCCCACTGCGCGAAGTTTAATAAGGCAGATATTCAGGGCTGGAAGGACGAGCAGAAAGCAAGCGAGAGAGAGAAGAGGAGGAGGAGGAGCCTGGCGAACGCAAAGCTGGTCTTGTCTCGTCGCACATTGTCCTCGTGATGATATACTGCACATCGCGCTCTCTCGCTTCGTACGTACGTCGGTCGCTGTGCGCCCATTTTTAAAGACTTTTTTACCCTTTGTCTGGAGGGTCGGGATGAGCGGGCTGTTTACTTTTGGGCATCCATGGAAGAGCTCTGGGTGGCTTGACTGACGTCTACGTTGGCCTCAACCTCAGGGCCCCCACCGACGTTTGTCGTGTCATGGCCATGGTCGATGAGGGTGGTGGATGGCTCTAAGGTCTGACATCAATATCAAAAACCTGAAATACCTGACATGTGCGGAAAATACCCACCTCCGTCCAAAGCGCTGCTTGTCCATTTCTGTCATTGCCATTGGCATGTTAGGCAGCTTGGCCGAGCGATCAACACTTGATCACAACTCTAAACACGCACCATTTGGCTCGGTTCGTTCCATAGGCCGCGCATGTGTTTCGTCGTAGTAGTAGATGTGAGGTCATTGTGAACCGGTTGGTTGTTGGTGTGTGGAGTCTGCAGTTGTGCACCAATGGTGGATACACTTTGTTCTTGGGCGAAATTCGGTCGTTTCTCGTGAGTCAACTCTAGCAGTTGCCCTTAGAATTTGAGGTACCGTGGTGCATCTCTCTCTCTCTCTCTCTCTCTCTCTCTCTCTCTCTCTCTCTCTCTCTCTCTCTCTCTCTCTCTCTCTCTCTCTCTGGGGTCTTATCCCGCGATTACAGACTCTCAGACCTTGACGATGGAGAACAATCAGGATCTCACGTTAAATTACGAAGCGAATGGCAAGGACTCCTCCAACGGTATGCCATTTCTTACAGGACTGCTAGCAATTTGGAAGCTTTTCGTGAATTTCAAGAACATTGTCATGTGCGGTGTCAGATTCATACGAAGCGAGCTTCGGTCTAGCAAATATGGCGTTGTGTATGGGTTCCTTATTCTAAATCTTCGTGACATTCTTCACATTCGTCTCGTCTTTGTAGTGAAATTCTCCTAGTAGATTGAACACGAGTATGAAGAAGTCGTTGCCTTTTGGCGTAACAACAGGATAAGCTGAACGCAATCGGAATTGACATTAGAGTTGATTCTCCTGCTTTGTTGGACTGGGTGCCTAAAACTTACTGGTAGGTGGGCCTGCAGCTGTACATGATCAAGACTGTATATTTTTGACCAAGGCTGTCGAGGAAGCGTACGCCGCCGTTAGCTGTGGCGACGGTGGACCTTTTGGTGCTGTAGTTGTAAAGGATGGAGAGATCGTCGTTCAATGTCATAATATGGTGCTGAGAAACACCGATCCCACCGCCCACGCTGAAGTTACAGCCGTACGAATGGTATGTCGAATTTCGAAAGGAAGATACTTAGACACGCGGGCAAGGTTGGGGTTCTTTTTGGCTGTGCAGAAGGCTGTTGAAGGTGTAGGCTTTTGTAGTTAATTGTCTTATTTCTCCCGAGGCTAGTGGTAAGTTGCAACTTTTGAACCCTTTCAGATGCGTATGCTGTGTACGGTGAAAGTACGGGAGATGGGGCAACTTTATAGTTGTTTTGGACTTGGGCATCAATAGATACGTGAGCCAAGTAGGGTTCCAGAAGAGGCAACTATGGCTATCTGTTGGCGAAAATTGCCGGTGGAGCCAGATGGAAGGCAACGCTTTTTCCATCTAATTGTGATTGTGTCAAAAATGGTTGTCGAGAGGGAGATTTCTGGGGCTGTTATCGACTGATTGGGACTTTGGTTTGTTCTGTGGAACCGTACACGAGTTTTGGGACCTGTGACCTATGCTTCACCGTCAGATATGAATAGTTCACGCTTTGTTACATTCTCTGCTCCTTCAGACCCAGACCTCTGTGGTTGGAACTCTTCTGTTTTATTTAATTGGAGAGATCGGTCGACCTGCAGGCCTGCAAGAAACTTGGACGACGTGACCTTTCCGACTGCGAGATATATGCTTCATGCGAGCCATGCCCTATGTGTTTTGGAGCTATTCATGTGTCAAAAATTAAGGTACTCTACCGACCATGTTGTATGTTCCTGATGCAAGTAGAGGTTATAATCAGTAGGCCGTGGTTGAAATAAATGTGCGTGCACTTTTTTGTAGGATTGATCGTTGGGCTTGATGATTATGGTCATGGAGTGTTTCTCGTGTGGTAACTTGCGCGTCAATCTTGAATTACCTTTTCACTCTCCTCTCGCGACCCTGGACAGTGTGACAGAAGCTGTGGTCATTGGGTCGCGAAATTACTTCGAGACTGCTTGTCTTCATGTTAAATTGCGTACTCGAGTTGTTGAAAGCAGTCTCTTGTCTATGTGATGATCATGTTACCGTAAAACCATGTAATCTCAACGTTGCGCAAGTCTTGTGAAATTCCTTGACCTCCCTGTTCTTTTCCTGTTAGTTTCTTAGGTAAAGACGCTGAGCTGCGGCTTTAGTCACATGGTGGTGATCAGTGATAATCTGGCAACTGTTCTCGATTTTTTGCATTTGACTGATTCCTGCTATTGTGGGCTTTATATTAAATACTTCAAGCGTAATCAGACTAGAACGGATTGGATTCAACAGAGAAACAAGGGAGACACGTTTTTTATTTTTTAGTCAGTTTCATCGGTTCAAATTATATGTGGAGAGGATTGGTTGCTCCTATTCTTCTGCCCATCTTTAATGGGTGGTGGTCAAGTCTCTCTAAAGTTGAACAGTGATCAGTTCAGATGTCCAGTCACAGCTCAGGTGACAGCTGAGTTATAACACTTCTTTGTTTTCAGCTCCTCACATGCCTTTGGCGAGCAATTTTGCATCTTAATGCACAGATCTTTTGATAGCTTTTTATTGATGACCCGGGGTGCATTGCAAAATCTTTAGCGAGTGAGGAAAGTTATAAAAAAGATGACATCCCTCAGATCTACACCTAGGAGGTTGCTTTGTGCTGTTTTATTTGAGGATGATGTGCGTTATCCACTCCCGACCGTGTGTGTGTGGAACTATTGAATACACCTGATGATTCTAGCCATCCGTGACTGGGATGTTGGTTCTCCTTCTCTTTCGCGCTTTAGTTCTATCACTGCACACTTTATTAAAGAATCAGCTCTTCGTATGCGTCTTATGCCTTTTCCTCCGCTAATAAATTGTCGAACGTTTCAAAATTTCTAATCGAGTGATCTATTTTGACTAAGTTGGCTGAGATTAGACTCTATACTCTATATTATATACTCTTTAAGCAAAACTGGTATTGCTGGCAGACCTTCTCTCCCTGATATTCCTCTGACTTAGTGTTGTCTTCCTTACTTTTCTCCGTCACTTAAACTGGCTAACAGTGACCTTTTGTCTCCTAGATTCTGTAATGATTTTATCGCCTTTCACTAAAATAAGTACCGTTTATTGAAAGTGTTTCAGTAATATAGGCTAAGACTTGCACTGTTTGTACATGAAAGTTCATGTACTTTTCTTGATCATCGTAGAGAGACTTATTCCTGTTGGTCTTCACAAATACCCTCCCTGCCTGTCACTTGGGCTCTCCTGAGTATCACATGCCGATTCGCGTTGAAGGATACAAATGATATTTTTGAAAATCAGCCAAGTGAATATTTGCAGAATGGTTTTTAACTGCTTTGAGAACGCTCTACCTTTCTGAGCAATGATCTTTTGGGAGCGAAATTAAACCGGAGTGAAAGTAGAGAATCGTGATCTGTTGGAATCTGCTTGAATTTGTTAGTGATCTTGAAGTTGTATCTGAATGGAAAAAATGCTTAGTCTGATTGAAACTTGAGTTTCATCTCAGAGTCTTATGCTTACGTACAACAGGCTCACTTAAACCCTTCACCTCTATTTTGCTCTCTTTTTTATTATTTTCATACATCTTACGAGAAGTAGATCAAAGAAGAGGTCAATAGTTTCTCAAAAGTCAATCTTGGTCTTTCCTTCTTTCCTCGAACGAGGAAAGACCAATATTGAAATATTCTAGGATAGGAAAGATCGATAACACTTTTTCCAGACTTAATGTAGGAAGTGGTTGCATATCGCTTTCGAATTTCGAATTAGCGTTTACCAGATTTTCTGAAATATCTGGTATAGATTGGCCCGTAGGTTTTCTTGGACATGCCCAAGATGTTCTCTGTAAGATAATCAAGGACAATGAAATGAATGAAATTCATGGATCACCAGATATAGTTACTTCGTCTAACTCCGCCTGGTCCACTTTGTTTGAGCATGGAGTGAGGATTGTATCCAGAGTTGTGTCGCGATTTCTTTTCTGCATTACAGTTCTGTTATTTTGGGATGTTTTATATGTGAAGGATGGTACTATATGTGTAAAAGGGACTCCTACGTTATTTTCCTCTTTCCTTGTGATCTATCCCTGTGTAAAAGACCCTACATCGAGGTTTAATGTGGTACTTGTCATCAACTAAAAGGGTGTAAAGCTCTTACATTGAGCACGTAGTCAGATTTATATATGGCCTCGGAAGCCTTGAACCATGCCCCGTTATTGAAAGATTGAGCGAGTTCAGCTGCCATATGCCTTTTATACAAATTTGTCTTGTGAACATTCAGAGTACTGAATGCAATTGATTGAGGGTAATCCAGGCTGCTAACCTTAGCTGCAATACGGATTCTTATAAACCTTGCTGTAATTATTTGTAAGCTTTGTTAAGATACATGCGGATGTTATTTTCGTTTGTGCAGTTCCCATTCGTTCAAAACGTCGCACTGCTCAGTTCATTCTATGAGTTTGTCTTCTGGTGTCCTTTTGGTCTTTGCATACAGTCTTCCATATTTTGAAACAATCTTTGTTCTATTTACATTCCTTTCGTTCTATTCAGTACACTTCGACAGGTATGTCATCGGAATGAACCAAAGACAGAAGTTGAATTTAGGGTACCACGTCAAGTTCATTGTCATTGCTCTTATTTCATTGCCTTGGGATATATAGTGTAAATGGTTACTTCCACTAAGACACTGTGTCCACAAAGCTCGAGTTTCTGATTTTTACAGAATATGGCATGTTTCGTGTTCTTAGGCTCTTCGCAATCCTTGCCTGAGTATACGATTTCACACCCATTGCAATGACTTTTTTGCTTCTACCTTCTGCAAGACCAGCTCTGCATTGCCATATCAGTTGTGTCTGTGACCTACTTCGACTAACCGTCTGCCTCTTCCCGTGACGCGCATAGTAGTCTAGGCTTTCATACACATCACTATGTGTGTTTTATTCTTATGTTTGAAGATGTATGAAATTCGGCTAAATATTCGCCTGCACATCCTATCAAGTATCATAAGCTTTCTTTGTATGAATCATTTGAGTTTCTAATGGACTTCTTCCCAAGGCCTAATACTGGCAGACCAAGCTCTGACAACCATCTGACAGCCATCGTGAGTACGTTCGCTGAATGCTGGTTTTAATCGTTTTCTTCATCTCCTTATCCATGCTGGCAAAAGAACATTATTTCTTTCGAGATCTTCCTGCGGAAGAACAGAGCTTTCTTAAGTTGCTGTACATTTAAGATACTCACCTGACAGAGCTTTCTTAAGTTACTGTACATTTTAGGTACTCACCTGACAGAGCTATCATATGTAAGTACTGTTATTATGGTAGCAAGCTTTGATTAATCGGTGTTACAGATGTAAGCGTGTAAGCGTGATAGCCTTGAAGTTAAGGTTGTTTTTTTCCTTCCAATCGTAGGCTGACATAAACTTCGTTGATGACTCCATATGCGCGTGTATGTGCTTGATGTTTCACAAAATATGTCTTTAAGGATCCTCCTTTGTAGTGATGGTTATCATTTGCCGTCTCTCCGCTAGCCTTGATGAATTTTCGGTATGCCTACATTAAGTAGTGAAGAATAACTTGGCTCACATCTGTTCCTTTGCGACCATCCCAGATTTGGGGATATTTGTCAATAAAAGTTTGAGTTAGCCCATGTATAGATCTAAATTGAAGCTTCCTTATGTTGTGTGTTTCTTGGCCTGCGTGCAGCGTTTAGTTTATGGAACTGAGGCGGAGGCAGCTGTAGCGGTAGGCTTTGATGATTTCATAGCTGATGCTATTCGAGGCACTGCGAAGTTTCAAAAAGTCCATCTCGAAATTAAGAAGGCTGATGGCGGGGTTGCAGAGGCCGCACGGGGCGTTTTCCAAAAGACCAAGTCCCAGTTCGCTATGTACTAGATCGGCACTGGCAGATTAAGTTCCAGCATGTGAGATAATTCTTTTATTGATACTTTTTGTGTGAACAGACTCAATAATTCATCACTGTACAGATTTGATGATGGCATCTGTCCAAGAATTGCCAGAGAAATATGATCTCGTGCTATGAGAGCTACTTCACTGTAAAAGTGCCACTGCTCAGTCAATGGAAACCTCTGAGTAAAGTCCTGTTACATGGCCCTACCAGTTTGTGCTCTCCACAGTTTGATTCTTACGACGCAGAAATTGCATTCAATCTTTGGCTTTTACGGAACATAAAACGCAAATCCCTTCATACAGTGTCAGACGGGCTGCCAACTTGCAACTGGAGACCTGGTTGTTGACCATGACCGTCTTGAGTCTCCATGGATCGAGTACTTTTATTATGATTTTCTTTGGACGAGTGGAACATGTGGAATTACCCCAGGTACCGTTTTCCTTCGAATAGCTTCAGAGACGATTGTTCTGGTTTTTTCTATTTTTTCTTGCCCATCATAATTTGAGGGCATCCAATGCGAGGTATAATTACGTGCGAGTTGTCCTACCTCGCTGTATACAAGGACGGAGACTTCAAGAACCAATGCTTCAATCGAGATAGACCGAAGTTGTACGTAACCGGGATTGCACGTCCGAAGTGTGAGGTTCTTGTAGCCATAGGAGAGGAAATGAAAACCGCAGAAATAATCAATACTTCCCCTCTATCCCAATTGATGTTACTGTGCACTATGCATGTAAAGTGATGGTTCCAATGAAAAATATTTACTGATTTGTGTTCTAATAATCGTCATTTCAAGTTTATAAGTTTTACCTCGTGAGTATTTTCAAATCCAGGATCCAGTTGCAGTTTTCGCGCAGAACGAACGCACAGCACAAATATTCATCTTCGTATTCAGGACAATCTGGTGAAGGATGGCAGTACGATTGCCATCATCTCCGTTACCGTTCATCGTGTCTCCGAAGCGACGTTGCTCACATGAGAAACACGGTTAATGTGTGGAGAAGAAGTGAACTGGCACTGTTGGGCTCATGTCCATCGGAGATGATTGTCATCAGCGGTCACGAGGAAATCAATCTGATATGCTTCAATCACTGAGTTCTTTGCAAAGCACAGGAGAGGAAGGTAATCTGCAACTTGCCAGCTGTTACTGGACGTAGAAAGTGAAATAGTTGATTGCCGGCCAATCAGTTCTTTTACAGGGGTCATCTTCAGACGTATGGCATTCGAATCTCATCTTCCGCGTGCAACAGCCTGATCGGCATGTGGCAGATCGGTGATTGCCTATGACAGAAAGTTCCCCTTCGATTTCATACCCATTCAAACAGACCTGCTGCTTCCGGCCATTTCCCATCCTACTGGTGTACACACCTAGATTAAGGCATCTGACGAAATTGAAGTGAGCAGTCGTGAGACCCCTCCAGATGCGGTAAGTATCCGACAACACATCAAGATGTTGAAAACCAGGTATTCGGGTATGATCCAGGTCGCTGGGGTCTTGCGTGGGATATAGAGTTGGCATACCAAAAGGATGCTGATGCTGATGCTGCTTGGCAAAGGTCCTTTCTTAAAATGCCAGAATGTGGAAAACACATGGTACACACAATTACAAGACAAGTGCCTCAGGTCACCAATTCGAGAGCTCTTACGAATAAGAATGTTTGGGGGAATAAAAATTGACGGAGTGAGTGCACAGAACAAAGCGCCGCCAGTCCTGTGCCAATGATCAGCTAGATAGACTTGTGCTCCTCGTCATGACTCGATGATTTATTGTAAAGTCTGGCGGGTCCCGACTACCAACTCGACATCGACAAACAAGACATCCCCACTCGTGGAAACTTCGACTAATTTGAACAGAACCCTTTTCCCTCGTTTCATAGCAAAATTCATGGTGATTGACATACCGTCCAGGCTGTGGAGATCCGAAATACCAACTTCTATTCACAGATAATTAGTTACACCTTCCTTGGGACAAAAGAGACTTGAGGATGCTCTCACTTCTTGTTCCTCATCTTGTCGACCTGGTTCAGAGCAGGGCGCAAGATGTTGTACAGCACCCAGCCGATGGCGGGCACGAGCACAACCAGCAGGATCACGGGCCTGTTGTCAGCGGCCAACTGGCCGAATTCCTGCGCAGCATCAGCGTCCTGGGCAGAGAGCAGGGAGGCAGCGGCGGCGCCGATTCCCACGGTGCCCACCAAGCCCTTGGTGGATCTCATCTTGTTGAGCTGGTTCAGAGCAGGTTGCAGGATGTTGAACAGCACCCATCCAACTGCAGGGACGATGACTCCCAGCAGCAGAATTCCTCTGCTGTCGTTGTCGGCGATGGTGGCCAGCTCCTGTGCAGCATCGGCGTGGGGAGTGTAGAGGGCGGACGCGAGTCCTCCGAGCCCGACTGCGCCGATCACTCCCTTGGTGGATCTCATCTTGTTGATCTGGTTCAGAGCGGGTTGCAGGATGTTGAACAGAACCCATCCGACTGCCGGGATGAGCACTCCGAGCAGCAGGATTCCTCTGCTGTCATTGTCTGCAATCTGGCCGATTTCCTGCACGGCGGCTTCGGCTTCTGACGAGAATGCGACTGATCCCAGAGCTCCCAGGCCCAGCCCAGCGACCAATCCCTTCACTCCCCTCATCTTGTTGATCTGGTTCAGTCCTGGCTGCAGGATGTTGTACAGCACCCAACCGATGGCTGGGACCAAGGGGATCAGGAGGGCGACGCCTCTGTTGTCCTCGGCGGCCAGGGAGGCGATCTGCTGGGCGGCCATGGCAGAGTCGGATGAGGCCATGGCGGCGAAGAGTGCTCCCGCCAGGGCGCTTGCTCCCAGCGACAAGTCCTCAGTCGAGAGGCTCGTCTCGGACTTGATGGCTGAGACGGCGGGCATCTGGAGCTTCTTCCATGAGGCCTTGGTTGGGGTGCTGCTCACGCGCAGACGCTGCACTCCCTGACCCAGAGCACCGCTGTTCTTCTGCAGAGTTGCAGCAACACTGAGACTGCTTCCAGCCAGTGCTGTCGCCATGGCCATTTCTCGTGATTTCCAGCAGCTGCCCTTCGAGTCCTGCGTCAGAGAGAGCAGAGAACGACTGACTCATCAGCTCCCCACTGACGATTTTCCAACCTCATGCATGCATACTACGTCCACGGCTCACTCAAGATCATTTCTACGCATCCACTGCAAAATGTGAAGAAAAAACCCCTCATCTGACATCTATCTCCGATTGCCTCGGCCTCGAATGGCTCTGAGCTCTGCGCTCAAAGAGGCTGCCTATGCCAATGGCAACATGATGGTAAAGCTCATGATTTTACTCCATTTGGAGAAAGCTCCGATTGGGTCGGTCTGTGAGAAGGGAAGTGATGGATGGCCAAATTTCGGTCTTGGAGACGCTTGTACAGGAATTCTTGGACAGATCCAGCTCACAATAGCTTGGATTTCGTTTATGGTGCTATTCACCAACTTCGGGAGGAGACTTCGTTGGAGAGATTCCTCGTTCGAAAATTGGGACCTTCCACTCCTTCCGATGCACTTACTAAATGCCTTGAGGATGCAACTGACGATTTGAAGCACCACAGGCAGGAATGTGACAGAGTGATGGCTGATAGCTCTCTTCTCTCAATGGTGGCTACTTACACCACATTCCGACAGGGGTCTCTCTCTTTCTCTCTTCAGACAAGCATCTCGGAGCTTGTAAACAAGACATGTGGACGAGTTTTGAGGCGGAAGCAGTGACTAGACTGACGGCATTACATGATGCGAGAATTCCTTCTTGCCAAGCAGGAAAGAGAGGGAGGGAATAATCTCTTGAAAGCTCTCCACAGTGCAAATGTTTCATAATTAAACAGGCCAGACATATTTAGACCAGGCATACAGACGCCTGGCTTAATCTTCCACAGGAGGCAGCAGAAGAAACAGGAGACTCGCCAACCAGCCCAAACACAACATCCATCCTGACCACCCGCAATTCCGCCACTCAACTAGCCCAATTGCCCAATGCATTGCCATCAAACCTACCCCCTGCTATAAACACGAATCTACCAACACACGCATACACAAGCAGCACGAGAACTGGCGTCTCTCTCTCGAAGGGAATTTTCTGAGAAAGCGTGCACATCAGCCATCTGCAAGCCACGATTCCACAGTCCAGAAAGTGCAGCAGAGCTTGGCAAAGGCAAATGCAAATGTACAAAGGCTGCCCGTTCTCTGGGCATGGCGGAAGGGAGCGAGCGAGCGAGCGAGCGAGGCCTACCTGCTGAGATCCGGCGAGAAAGAGCTTCCTTCCTGTGAGCGAGCGAGCTCAGGCTTCGTCGAGGCAGGCGGGCGGGGCGGGGCGGGGGGAACGAGAGTCCGTTTGTGCAGTGTGTGCCGCAGTGTCAACTCACTCGCGAGCAGATCGACCGAACGGACCCCTTTGGGCTCGGACGAAAGAACTGGGGCTTGCGAGCGAGCGAGCCAGCGGGCGAGCGGGGGGGGGGGGGGGGGGGGGGGGGGGGCAGAAGGTCGGGCAGCAGGGCGAGGGGAGACCGCGAGACCGTGAGCCCACCTCAGAAAAAAGCTCGCGAGATGAGGGGGCGGATAAGGCGCCGCCCTCGGCCCAATGACAGCCCTTGAACCAAAAGCTCCCGACGCCCGGCCCCCCCGGCACAACCCAACATATCTTCATCCCTCAACGCTCCCAGCTCTCCGCCTGCCGCTAACAGCAATTGGGCTCCCCCTCCCTCCCCTCCACTCCATCCGTCGCCCCCTCGTTCCTTGACCTTGCTTTCCTTTCCTTTCCTTTCCTTTCCTTTCCTTTCCTTTCCTTTCCTTCCAACGTCTCGTCGGCTTGGGCTGACTGGGCTTGAGTTGCCTGCCGCGGTGGAGGATTTGGGCCACAGACGAGAAGGAGGCCACAGGGCAGGCCAGGAAGACATCCAGTCCACCATTCACGAGCTGCTGATGGGCTGCGGCTTGGGGCTTGGGGCCCATGCTTTAGCCACAAGATCGACGCCGTCTTGTCTTCTTCTCTCGAGCTGGCGTGGGCCCGCTCGCTCCGACCGGATCCTTTCCTTTCCTTTGCCTTCTCGTGTTTTATTTCTGGACATGCTTCTTTTTCTTCTTCTCCCTTCTTGAGCTCAATTTCGTGTTTGCCCGGAGAGTTCTAAATTTATTTTCTCCTTCGGTTCCGTTTGCATTCTTGGATGCCATTTTTTGTTATTTTTCCCATCTCGCACTCTTGTGATCCAAGTGTCCCGCTCAGTACAGTATCCGGCTTCATCCTTGTGAGCTTCGATCGGCTCTTCCCATCTTTTTCCCATCTACTTGGCCTTTTTTTATTATTCTTATATTTTTATTTAAGTAATATGAGTGAATGACGTGGAGCATGATGTCAAAACCAATCGTATTATCAGATTTTAGAAATTAGGTAATGCCAATGAGAACCGACGGGGCGTCTCATCTCTTTCCATCTCGTCTCAAAGTAGAATTATTATTTTTTCCGATTTTACTTGTTTTGCTTTGTGTACATCATATAAAAGATAAAGATACAGGTATATTTACGCATCAATGATCCCAATCGTTTTCTTAATGTGGATCATCTGTTATTGAATCTGAAGACCGCCGATTGCTTTTTACGAAACTATCTGAGGTGTTCATTTTCCATCAGAATTCCACGACTTATCATATCATCATAAGTCGTGGTATTACACATTTAATACTGTTATTTAATATATCTCTGACACCATCTTCACATGTATAAGAAGATGCTAAATCTGCACAAATTGTGCGAAATTTTTTGTTAGTGATTTTGATGTACGTGAGACATGTGTAATATAATACAAGTATTAATTTACACATCATCCAGAAATTCTCGAAGTCTAGATTGAATATTCTGTTATACTGTACATTCTAAATAAATTCTTGTGTATATAACAGAAAACTTGAGCTACCCGTTACCTCATTTATAGTCACTCATTCTGTTTTCAGCCTCACATTCAATAAATAGTTGGGTTAAGAAGAAATCCATCATTATTAATTTTTTTCTCCATTCACAAGCACAAATAAATTATAAATTTTATTAATCACATAGAATATACATTAAACACAATTTCGCGCAAAGAATTTCAAAATAATCTTTCAACTTATCCCCAAGATGACTTCATATTAAACATGATTTCAATAAAAGAATTTTCGAAAATCATTGCTTATATCCAAAAAACGAGAAAAACTTAAAGAAAATTTACATGAGATTTCACATAACGTTGATTTTTGAACTATTCAGATAAGAACAGAATTTTGGATAAATTGGAAAATTTATCCAAAATTATAAGAAAATAAGATAATAATCTTGTTAATAAATTCTATATTTAATATATGAATATTCATAGAATCACATACATAAACCTAAAAATTTTCAATTTTTCACATAATTCTTTTTGTTTTAACAATTTGATTTCAAGAACATCTGATAAAAATGTTACTTTATAACCCTTCATTTTCCAAAAAATTGGGTAAATTTGAATATTTAATAATTTTCTTTCGAATGTTAACAGAAAATATCAGCGTTAATTTTATTATTATTCATATATATCTTAATTTGATTTTAAAAAAAATAATTAATATCATAATACAGACAGATTTTTTGAGCTTTAAAATCAATGCACTTTTTGAAATAATAAGGAAAAAATATTTCTCCGGCGAAAAAACTTTTCAATTTTTAGTATATGAGATTTAGTTTTTACTTAATTTAAGTAATCAATCTTCTGTAATAGTTTCATTAATAAATTATTTATACAGGTCAAGAAAGTTTATTTGATTTTTGAGCATTTATGTTATATGATTTAACAGTTCTATATAGATTTTGTAAAATATTCAAATATATTTGGATAATTTACTATGTTCTATTTATCGATAAGATTTGAAAATTTAAAGTGATGAGCATTAAAAGATGGGAAGTGGATTTTGAATGTACATTTACTGAAACTGACATGTACTTATTCAACATCTTCATCCAAGCAATAACATATGTAATGCACAGAATAATACATATGAATTTATACAGTATCTTGTCAAAGAGAAGTGACTACATCTTTATCCTCTCATTTGCATCAATAGCATATTAAGTTTATGATAATATGACATTAAACAAATCTTTAAATAAAATTCCTTTGATCAATTATTTCCTTGACTCAATCACACTAATCTCTTACATTTATTCCAATAATTCATCTTGATTTCAAAGTTTGATTGACTCTTGCATATATAAAAAAACATATTGATTTTTTTCATACGAAACATATTATTTACATAGATTTTCAAAATAACTACTTGAAAATTAGCAGTAGTCGTATGTATACACACATAAAATCACATTACAAAAATCTACTTCTGATTTATTGGCATATCAACTCTTGTATTAATAAATTTCAAAGCTTATTGATCTATATTATAATTAAATTTTTTCTTCCTTAAGCTTATATAATTTTAAATGAGCAAGTTTTTGCCAAAAAAAAATAAAAATCTTATTTCAAAGACAATGTCAGGAAAATTTGACGTGGTGATTGGAAAAGTATCAATCTGCGCTTATCCAGTTGAAAAATGCAGAAATTTAAGTAAACAACATTTTCAATGCATACTATTTATATAATAATGATATTTAACTTTCAATCAAATGTGTTTAAAACAGAATATAGCTAAAATTATGAAGAATATTACAAGAATTATGTAGATATGATTTAACACCAACGTATCGCATTATAATCTAAAGTTTAGTTTAATAGACAATTTAAAAAATAAAAAACTAAGAATGGAAATAAAAAAATATTTTGATCATTATTGAACTTAAAGATAAAAAAATAAATATTTCAAGATTTCGGATTTCAAGCATCTTATCAGACACATTAAAAAATAAATAAATAAAATTTAAAAATATCGCCAAAAGTTTATATATATAATAGTGTTTATTGGAAAAATCCATTGATTTGTACATATTACATTATTCATGTCAATATATCAATTTTTTTCTTCTAAGTTTCTTAATTGATAATTTAAATCATGTTTATAAATTTATAATTATTTTTTATATATTATTTTTTGTAATTAAATATAAATCTTACAATTAAAAATGATCAAATACCCTTACAATTATTTAGGTATATATTTATTTATTTATTCATTTTAAAAAAACATTAAAAAATTTTACTTAAATAATAAATCAAGATTTTTGAATGTGAATGATGAAAAATGAAATACATATGAAGATTTTTAAATAATTATATTTTGAATTTTAGATTTTAAAATGAATCATGATCATTATATCAAATTTACATATTATTAACTTTACTTCTGCAGTCAATTTTAAAGTTTAATGACATAAAAATAAGTAACATTAAAGACATAAAATTTTAAAATCATAATTGTATTTTATTCATATAGTCATATTCATATGATATTTTATATAAAATATTATGTTGCAAGAAATAAATTTAACTCGCAACACAATTCATAAACTTTAATTTTCAAACAAGTGGATGAATTTAACAAATATAATATACTTTCAAAGTATTTTTAGCACAGATATTGTTCCAAAGAATTGATAAACATGTTGTATGACTTCATGAAGTTGATGAGCTTCAAAATGAAAGTATAAGACACGAAAATTCAATATCATATTGATACATGTGATGATTTTGTCATTGATTCTCATTATATTGATGAAGAGTATACTCATGATAACACCTCTATTTCCATTGAATTCATTTACTAGCTCATATTAGTCATTGTTACTTGTCTTGTTTTATTATAATAGACAAACAATCACTTACAATGAAGTTGTAAATGCTTTGGGAATTCTTAATTTACAATAAAAAATGATGTTGTTAATTACTTCATCTTCTTCTTCCAATACAACAATGAATGTGATTTGATATTGAAAGTATTCACAAAATGATAAAGATAGCAAGCATTTTGAATCCAAGGATGACATCAAATCTATGGTTAAATTCCTAGATAGAAGACGTTTGTGGGTTTGAAATGTCACAAGAGTGGCCACATCAAGAATAAATGTCGTATGAAGTCTAAAAGTGTTGTTCCTTTGTTGATCTATGTGGCTCAAGAATTTGACATTGACAGTTATGACTTGCTAGGTGTTAGATTATGATGCCAAAAGTATGTCAAATGCAATTCATCAAAAATATTAGTGATGTATGTATTTCATATATAGTGCTTATTTTTATGACATCTATCACATTAGAGAATTCTTTTTATACTTTCTCAATATCAAACAGTTCATATTTTATGCAAAATTATCAAGTTGTTAGGATTAAATATATTGGATATGTAAATATTCAAATATTAACCGAAATCAAACATTTGAATGTTAATAAAATCAAACGTAGATTGATTCAAGTGAGATTAATCCAATATGAGATCAGTGAAATAAGAATTGCTTGAGGTGAAAATATATGATAAGATTATGTTTAAAGGTTATAAGCACAATAATTTATATATGCTAGAGAAGTAAACTATTAGTTGAGAATTCAATTTTACTCAAACTTGAATTGAAATGTCTCATATATATCATTTTAGGTTATAACACATGAGTGAGTATCATGTGTTATGTCTATTACTTTTAGGCAATAGCATTCTTACATAGCTAAAGTTGACTTGGAGTTCTATGAAAATTGTGTTATGTATAACATCATAGTCAAATTTCTGATGTTGGAATTCATCAATGATTTGACTATGATGACTCCAAAAGATTATTTGAATATGTATATAGTGATGTGTGGAGATTTTTTTAAGAGTCTCAATCTCAAGTTTTTGATGATTATTCAAGATTTATGTGAAATTTTTTCCCAAAAGTCTCTTCCCTTAGAAAATTTTACTATGTATCATGTATGAAAAATATTTGAGGTTTGTGGACTAGATTTGAGACAATGCGTGACTAGACTGGACACAAAGTGAAAGATTTACGTACGTATAATGTCCTAAAATATACTTTTGAGTAGTTTTGAAAAAACTGCAAACAAGAGCAAATAACTCGTCATTAAACTTTGATTTATACTCTGCAACATAATGTTGTTTCTAAGAGTATCATTTGAACAATCTTGGAGAAGTTCTGTAGTATGTTGAACTTATTTGATTTTCCACATGAAATAGAGCTAAAGCTGTCAATATCATGGTGTATTTGATTCAACTTTTTTCTTCGAGTGCAATCAATTTCTTGACACCATTTGAATTAAAGCACAAACTGATAATTGATTATATTTGTTTGAGATTTTTTTATTGTACCGCTTAAGATGATTAGTACCAAGTTGAATCATACATTCAAAAAATGTTGTTTTTTTGAATGTGCTAGTGATATGAAGAGCTATCATCTACGGGATCTAGTAGTTTGTAGAATTATTGTCATTAGAGATGTTTTTTTCAATGAATCCATATTATTAAAAAAAATTCCAATTTTCAGGCTCCAATTATCAACAAGGAAGAATCTCCACTCACGGTAGGGAGATTGATCATTATGTGATTGGTGATATGATACAAGTATAAGCTTTGATAAATATAAAGCAAATTCTTGAAGAGTATGAATTGGAAAAGGAGATCATTGTTGGTGAAACTAAAATATTTGCACCAAATTATAGTGATCAATCAAAATTATTTATTAGAAACAATCAAATCAGATTAGTATTACTATTGTAAGATATGGATTATGGATTGATTTATTCAATCTTAAGTATAGCAATATTGATAATACCTATGATGATGACATGGTCTTAATTTTGAAAGAAGTATAAACTTTTACTTATTGAATAATTCAAGATTTTATTAATAAGCTTGAGTGAAATGTTGCTATAGAGTGTGAGTTACACTGGATAACAAAACCTAAGAGCTAATGAAACTTCCAATGAATCAAACTTTGATTTATTGCAAGAGGTGTAAAAGTTGAAGTACAATCCATGTGCTAACAAAAAAATAATCTTCAAAACAAGGTTGATGAGAAGATATTTTACACAAGAGAAAAATGTGGAGTATGTCAAAGTATTTTCACTTATAGCAAAATATACTATAATTTGTTTAGTATGTGCACTTGCTGTTACATTTAATCTCAATATGGATCAAATAGATTTAGTTATAACATTAATCTATGCATCAATAGAAAAAATAATTACCATGAAACAATCAGTTCACTTTTAGAAGAAAGGTCAAGAGAAGTTGTTTTGTAGAGTACTCAATTTGTCATATGAAATCATTATATATGCAAGCTCATACATAATGAAATATGCAATTTGATGTATTTGTCAAAGCACAAGGATTTTCATGGAACTTGTATAATATTTGTGTTTACATGAAAAAGATGAATAATAAAATCTTTAATTTTATTATTCAAATATGTTACGTGAATGACATTTTGATCTTGGCAAAGAATTAATCCAACGTGGACAAAAGAAAAAATCAGTTGAAGTTTTTATATGAGATGAAAAATTTAATTGAATCAAAGAGTAAATTAAATATGAATTTTTGGAAAAATTTGAAGAAAAAAAACTATGATTGAATCAATGCAAGTGTGTTCAACGTGTATTTGATAAATTTAACATAACCGTTTTTAAAACAATATAGATTTTTATGGCAGCACACTTCAACCTTTTGCAATTCAATGTCTAACAAAATATCATTGTCATCAAAATCCTATATATCACTCTGGCTATGAACAAAATGAACAAGTACATGTTAAATCTAAAGGTTTGCATTGAAAAGCAATGAAATAAATTTTTAGATACATGAAGAATACTAAGAATTATGATTTATTATTTGATGATGTATTAAACAATGCCAAATCTTTGTTGGACTACGTTGATGATGACTATGGACAAAACATTATCTACAACGGGATGTGTTTTGACACTGAATGATTGATGCATTAGTTTAACGTCTACCTTGCAAATATGCATAGCTAAGTTTAAAACAAAAATTAAGTATATAGCGGCAGCAAAAGCAACAAAGAGAACTATTTGCCTGAATAGGTTCATCACTGAGATGGTATTGAAACAAAAGGTTGTAAATCTTCACTATGATAGCCCAAATGACATACATCTTATTGCAAATCAAGTGATAGCAGAGTGAAACACATCAAGATGAAATATTATATAATCAGACATGCAGTGTTTGAAGAAAGTATTGAGCTAATCAAGATTGAAAATAATTTAAATCCAGCTTATGCGTTGATCAAAATGATTTTATTTAAAAGTTTTAGGATTGTGCTATTATAGATGTTTTGCAAGGTCATCACAAGTAGAGTTCACCAAACAATTATAATTATCTTTGCATATTTATACTTTATCATGTTTTGTCTACGACTTAGTTCTATATTTACTTATATCATTTTCAAAAAAATATATATAAAGGTTATGGAGTCAATTGTTGAAAAAAATATTGTTATGAAGTAACCTTAATTCATAGCTAAAAATAGCAAGGAGTATCGTGCATACTGGGGTATTTAGCCCCAGGATGTGTGTATTACTAGAAGATTTTTAGTACATTCTCACAAGTGTGAACTTTCTCAACCGTGGACGTAGCCTTCTGTGGTGAACCTTAGAAGGCTACGAAGATGTAACGTGATTCACCACGTTACATCTTTGTCATTCATCTCTGCGCTTTACTATTTACTGATTCTCAATTCTAATTGTGATAGCTATTGTTTAATCAACATGAGTTGAGGGAATATTGTTGGAGTTAATTTTTTCAATTGTCAGCTATCAACTGCGTTTTCAAGTAACATGCTTTAGGTATCAATTCCAACTACTAAGGGTGGCCAGACCTAGCTTGCATTCCCATACATAATTTCAAAGTTTTTGACACTAAAACTCTCTAGTTCCTATGATGTAACCAAAGGCGAATCACATACCTTTTTGTGAAATCTTGTGATTCTAACTTACAGTTATGCTTCTTATGTTTTGTCTTTGTGTTGAATCATTTTCATGCATCTTACTTTTTATTCATTGTTTAAGTTTGAAGTTTAAAATATTTTATGATTAATTTGAATTTGTGCGTTAGTAAAAAATGTGAAATTTTCATTATTTGAATATTTTTTTTTAGAATTTTGTATTATCATAATTAGTATAAAAACTTTCTAAGGTGATGAAAATTGTATCATGATGTCATGATATGAATTGATTATGTGTCAAAGTCTTATGAAGTCTTTGATCACTTTAGTAGTAATTTTTTTTTTTAAGTTGAAGATGATTTTTCTCTATAGTTATCAATATAATCTTTGATGTAATATATCTGTAATTACAAATTTAGAAAATAAAAAACGAGCTAGTATGAGCAGTAGTCTGCAATATGACCTGACCGTAAGTAGTATCCTTGGAATCCGAATCCATAGCCCTTTAAACTTTTGCAAAATTTTATGGAGTATCACTTTATGAGGTATCAAATCAAAAAATATTAGCACTTTTAAAAGAGTTTGATCATCACATCAAAAATTGATGATTTATCATGTTGTTGGATTTCACCTTGGAAGTAATATTATCCAACATTTTCATTATATTTTAAGCTGAGATGAAGATAAGATTTTCTATATATATAAAATGAACTTCTGTACAAAATAATGAAGCATATCGTGAAAGTAGCACAAGACATAACCTATGTTTCTTATTGTGTTTTTACATGAAGATGTTTCTTTTGAGCTGAACATGCAAAGAAATGAGTGATATCTATTGATTTCAAGAGAAAGTCATCACAATGTTTGATTTTATGTTGATGATTTGTTACATTGAGATTAAATTCAAGTTTGTGACATTGTTAAACTTACAAATTCATAAGAGGAATAATATTTGGATTGGTTCCAGTGTTATATCCAACAAGTTGGAGATATTGATTAGTAAAAAACCATTTTGCTTTTTATCGACAAGATTGACAAGAAACTTGAAGTGAGTGACTACAGTTCTCTGGCCCTATCTGAACTCTAGTGCTTGTGTTATTGGACATGTATCTTATTTGAAAAAAAAAGTCAATATAAATGCCAATTCATATCTAGGTTATATTTTGATCATTCACTTATTAAATACCGAAAGTTGGCATTATTACTTACACACAAGGCTTGGAGTGAGTAATTTGTTCCAAGGGTTGAGGAGACTAAGGTAGTTGTTTCTCACCTCTGCTATATCATGGACTTTGCATGCAATATTCATTACTTGGTGGTATCTAGGGGAGGAATATATGTGATGCATTGTTTTGTTATCACCATATGTTTCCTTATTGTTTTACATCATGGTACACAAGTAAAACTTGCTCGGCATGTCACTTTTTATTTGTAATTTGCGAGTACACGGTCTTGGCGCACGGATTCAGCCCAAACTCCTGGATCCTTGCATATTTTCAAGAGTCTTGGATTCGGAAGAGTAATTAGAGGCTACTTTTTTTGCCTGATCTCATGATAATATAAAGCCTATATCAATGGAGGACTTGAAAGCAGTACAGAACACTAATCCCTTGACATCAAGCTAACAATGTCGGTAGTCTCCATCACATTAGCTCTAGGGAGGGAATTGATATGCCTGGTATGTTTGAATCGAAAGTAATGTATTTTTTTCCGCTATGATAAATTACAATCCACGCATGTCCTTAGTAGCCATCTATTTTTTAAGTGGAGTCGGATCGCAATTGACGAGGTTTGCAAATTAGGTTGGATAAAACTGATGATTTGAAGTCAGGTACAGTGTATATCAAACTGGTTCTTCTTCACATGGTTCAATATCCAATAATATTCCCATCTCGAGGTTTCCTGTTGTGGAAATTTGATTCTGGACCAGCATCATTGCATTCCACTCCACTTACTTTCTTCGCCAATTTTTCGATCCTGCCCAGTGACTGAAGAATTTCTGGCTGTCCAACCGTTCAAGCTCCTGCTTGTACCATTGTGTTTCAAGAAGTTAAGCGTGCTCGGAGTTTGTCAGAGTTAAGCGGCAGAAGAAGATGCCTGAATTGACGTCAGGACCGCATGGATGGGTCATATCCTCCATGTTAAGAAAACGCAAATATACAGGACAGATTGTTTTTGAAGATACATCGAAGAACACATAGAAATGCATGTTTGGCTTTCTATGGGCTTGTAATCCTCAATCTACTCGCCTCCGCATTAGAGAGACAGTCGTAGAGCATGCTCTTACCGGATAAGGGACGAAAGAACTCCGAGGATTCAGTGTTGAACCAGATCGATGTCTCGTTGCTGTGGAGATCGGAATATTGACATCATCCAGATTGGGACAGGATGGTCAGGAGTGTAGATCCACCTTAGTGGATCGATGCCTTCTGAGAAGACCTTGTGATATGTACGTTGATCTGTCTTTGTGGCAACCAGTATCATGACGAACTCCTCATCTTGTACTCCTGACATGGCTATATAAAAGTTTGATTCTTTAACGGCTCATGATGTTGTTGTCCTCGTGGTCAAGGTCTTTTTGTTAAAGCTTCCACGAGTTAATTCTATCCATATAATAAGATGGATGTCATAAAATTACAAAAAATGAAGAGTAAACTGTAAGTTGAAAATTACCTTCTTCAGAAAAAACGATTTTTCTATATCGCCAGTCTTGATAACCGACACATTTGGTCGGCATTGCAATTTAGTTTAAATTGCAGATCGAAGGAGATTGCTTACTCACTCTGTCGCTCAGGCTCCTATGTCAAAAGCCTTGCTCCTTTCAGAAATATATAGTCTCAGGTTCGGAGAACTCCAAGCTTCCGATTGCGCCGTCGTAGTCCCGGCCCTCTATCTCAAGCAGAAGGAAGGAGAGTCGACTTAGATCTTCGGGTATGCGCTTGAGAAAATAATTCAATGACTAAATATCGATTAATATCTGCCATGCAGACTCTGATTGCTGCAGGAGCGTGCTTCTTAATCGGTTCGAGGATGTCTGAAAAGTCATCCAAATGTTTGCTTCTCATCACTCCCGGCCCACCCCACCTTCTGGGAGAGGGATGAAATTCGTCGTGAAACAGTCTCACGAAGTTCAACTTCCACCATCAGTCACAGATCTTCTGCACGAAGAATCCCAGAGTCGGCGTCGAGGAGAACTGTCCCAAAGGTCCTCAACTGGCTCAAATTAAATGGTATCGATATCATGGATACTACTTGCAGTTCCATGGACCAAGATTGTGGTGCTCTGCTCGGTTATTCAGAGCCCAACTTGGGTCAGATTTCTACGTGAAGAAATGTACGTAGAAATATGCGACAAAAGTGATCGGCACGTCTGCCAGTCTATGTCATCTATCTGAAGTATGAGAAGGCGAATCCCACACAGAGGAAGCATAGGACGAGGTAGCCAAAAGTGCGAGGAATACGCAGGACGAGATTACACTCAACCCTGCGCCAAAGAAGGTGTAGCCCAGAAAGGATGAACAAGTAAAAGTGGAACTCAGAGCGGGCTGTATGGCCCAAGACAGCTGATCAGGGTGATCCGAGAACGCCGAGCTCTGTCGGAAATTGCAGGCGTTCCACTTCATGGCGGTGATGGCACCGAGGGTGGAAACATCGAGCAGGAAGTTCATGAACAAGGTCACGGGCAGACGATGCAGTAGGAACGAGGGGCCATTGGACTTGCGGTCTCTGGCGAAGCCTTCGACGACGGGGTACAGAGGCCCGAGAGTGAAGCCGATGTAGGCCGCCACCCACGCGTGCAATTGGCCGCCCGCGCTCCAGAATCTGTCGCGTTTGCTCAGCGCCAGCACGCCGTTCAGCAGCGAGATGGGAGCCACTCCCAGGCAGAAGTAGACGGCGATGGCCTTGTCGTAGTTGATCTTGCGCACGTTCACTTCCAGGTACAGAACCACCGACGCTATGGCCGTGCAGCGCAGCACTAAAGCTCCCACCGTGTACGTTCCTGCATGCTCAAATTCCATCAGCTTTCAGCTCTCTACGTGATCTCTTATCAATTTCTATTCTAGTCCTAGGGAAACAAATCATTTGGCTTTGTTTATATTTCTAATTTCTATATTTATTTTTCTCGTATTTTTGAACTCGTCTTTTCTATATTCAATTAGTTCTCTAACATCAGGCACATTAGATATCTGTACTCCTAAAAGTCTAAAATGATATTCCTCGTAGTCATCAAAAATAAATTTTGTATATCCAAATCAAAAATCATGTTAGTTGAAGTTAGGGAAAATAAAACAAATAAGTGAAAACATCAACCCAAGAGTCCTCGGTGAACTTTTTTTTCAAAAAAACAAAAGCAAAAGCAGGAAATCTGAGCTCCCTATTCTCTTGATTATCGTTAAATCGATGCTTTGAACTGCTCCAAAAGCTCATCCTGGTGAAAAACTCCTCGAAAGTGCAAGATAAATCTTCTCTTTGAGAGATGGGATGGAGGCGAGTATTTGTATCCATGCAATGTATCAACGTTATGATACATTGCATGAAGGAAACTTGGGCACTCTAAATTCAGAATGCCCCGGTTACAGATCCAAATACAGGTCTCACATTTTCAAAAGACATCACTTCTACCTCACCTCATGTTGATTTGTTTCGAAGAAAATCCAACACACCACAGATTGATTTCATCGTCTTTCCTCGAAGTCGTTACCGTAGTACTGATTGTAGTGAAATCCGTTGCAATTATTGTTGCACTCACATAGTAGGATTCAAGACAGGAGTCTTGTATTCTTCTTTGTGAATCTTAAACCGCTCGATGTTTGGAGATTTATGCCTTAAGAAGTAAGCGGGAATTTGTGGTTCTTGGAGCTGTCGCGGGGATGCAATGTGGGCAAAGAATTTGGCAAGCTGTGAATGGGGTTGAGCTCGGGAGGGGATGGTGCGTTTAGAGGATAAGATTCTCGTATGCTCTCAGTCATTTCATCCTTCGTGCAAATAAACTTTTGTCACCAATGTATGAAGGACAGGAACTGTGCCAATTAACGATGCATTGTCACTCCAATGCATACGATTATGAAAAGTGAGAAGGATGAGAGAGGAGTGATGAAGATGGTTAAATACCTCCGATGAGCCCGAATGTATTCAGAGTCCAAGTCCATCTGTCGCTCAGCTGGTACATAACGGCTCTGCCGGTGTTATAAGCACCCGACAGAACAGAGGCTCCAATGGACACTTTAAGGATGCACGATGGCTGCCAGGATGGATAAACACTGCCAAGAGAAACCATGACGCATAATTGGAGCCCCAGCTGTGGACCGGTCTCCATTGATGCACACATGATTGCGTATAGGGCTTCTGTTTTATGTGATTCCGAGTCATTGGAATCTATGCTTCTTCCATTTTAGGACAAGCACATCAGATCAACACACAAGTGCACGTCAGGCTCTAGAAGAATTCTTCAATCTCCTTGAGTGTCAGTAAAAATCGCATATTGTCTTTGGTTGTAGGTTGAAGAGTTCTTGGTTTTCCACACGCCCTACTCTTTACACATAAACACATTTCTCCTCCCATAACTACACAATTCTTTTAACATGTGTGCAGTGGGTGTTCTGTCTTTCCATCACATTTTTTCCATGAGTCATTTCGCCCTGTTCATTCACTACCACTAGAACAGTGAGCATGCTTCCAGTCCACACACAGTTCCGTAGGGTCAAAATTATGGCCTTTTCTCTCGTCGCGGGACAATGTTGGAAATCGTAAACCCAGAAACAAATTGATAGGTCAGACTTACAGAGCCTGGATGCTTTCCTTCGTATTCAAATGATTGTCGTGTTTCATTACTTGATTAGATTACCAACTTGGCTCGCAGAGGACAGAGGAGAGAAAACTTATGTGTATTAATACTGTTCTCAACATACCTTCCGAGAGTTCTAGAATTCCATATTCCCGTCACAACCCTGCGAAACTGCACGATAGGAAGGAAGTAGGCAGACCGGACAGGGTGCTCCTCTGGGGGAAGTTTGAGCTTGAAGGCCACCACATTGAGGACGTGGGCAACGACCATGAGTCCAAGGCATACCGCGAAAGCGGTAAAGTCCACAATTTCTACAAACTGGCCTTCAGCTTTCATGTCATAGTACTCTTTGAGCACCAGCACATTGCTCACAAAATCGAACAGGTACAAACCGGCCGAAATCATGGACGAAGCTGGCCTGATAAAATTCTCCAACTTCCAAGTGCCGGGCTCTCCGACATCCCCTTTCTTCTCCTCCCCTTGACGAGTCAAACTCTCCCTCACACTCCCACTGTGAACACACCCGACCGGCACCTTCAATTCTCCGAGGTCCGAACTGCGCACGCTCTGCTGATGAGACTCGTGGCTCGCCGCCCTCCCGACGCCCTCCTCCTTCACCATCTCCAACGAGCGCACGTCATGCACTGCCCCGCCGGAGTCCACAGCATTGTGCCTGCTCCTCCCCGGCCCTGCATCAGCCCTCCGTCCCTCCCTCCCCAGCCCTCCTAAGAGACCATCGTCCCGCCCCCGAATCAATCGATCGATCGGATCCTACCTCCTCGAGCTCTCATCGGCCAGCCATCGGAACCACCCAGACACTCGCGCACCGCATGAGACCTCTAAATCGCCGACGCAGTGCTGGCTATGGATGCTCTGCGCGACCGATCGCAGCACGAGAAGCGAGCGAATGAAATTCATCGCGTCGATGGAAGAAGAGAAGACGGACTGCGCTCGTGCTCGAGCGCACCGTCGGCCTTTTATAGCGGCGAGAGAACGCGCCAGAGAGCCGGCGAGGGCCAGATCGAATGACAACGGGTACGCGGCACGGCCACCGGCCATCGGGTCGGCGGATGCCATCGCGACCGGGGGCCCCGGTCGCAGCCCGCGCTCCCCGATGTTCGAGAACAATCCGCCCATGCAGCGCATTGGGCGGATTTACCGACGGCGTCCACCCGGGAACGGGATATCCCGGGAATGAGCGCCGGGACCACGCGCGGGTTTCGTGGCAAGGCATCGACGGTGATTCGATGGAGTCCTCGTGCGCGGATCTGATTGGTCCTCGGCCGCCACGTGGTCGCCACTGCGCTCGTGGTTCACGGGCTCGTCGCTGCTCGCTGGGACGATTCTCGACTTCCGGCTCCTGCAGCAGGCGCCCGCCACCGTGTCACCCGCCACCGTGTCAGGCCTGGCGATCGACGACTCGCTCCCGAAGACACAGCGCGAGTGGCAGTCTGCTGCAGAGTAAATGCTCTTGTGCTCGCCCAGCTTTCTCAAGCATCATCATCACACGGATCAGAACTCGGGCCTCCAATTGATCGATCCTGCCTCGCCTCGCTGCCTTCTTGCGCTCATCCGATCGCTCGATCGATCGGCGAGACTTCGTGCAATTTGGTCGCTTCGTTGATTTTCGGAAGAGGTCGCTAGAATGTCGTACGGAGAAGGAGAAGGGTACTTCCGCCGGTCGAACGACGAGGGCTACGCGCATTACCCTCACCACCAGCACGGTCACGTGGATCCACCTCCTCGCCGCGAGACTATGGAGGTCACCGGTGAGATCTTGAAAATTTTCTGTGAAGCCAGGCCCGATTTCAACCTCGCTGTCCGCCATCACGAGGTCGTGCTCGTCCCCGGCGATGACAACGATCCCAATCAGGTTTCCGTGTTCCCCCCTCTCCCTCTCCGTCTGTCCTTCTCCACTGCAATCGGATGTTTGTTGCTTGTCTATTCCTGCTCGGTGTCGTTGTCCTTACGAGCGGGATGAGTGTCCTCAGGTCGTTAGATAAGCGGGTCCCTGACCTGCGACACATGTTTCCTGGTTCTGGACATTTGATTAGACAGAGGTTGCTTCAGCTGATCAGCATCTGAGGTGTGCGAGTAGAACGAGTTGGACTAGCACAGCTTCAGATGTATCTAGGCTAGGCTCACAGGGAAGCAAATTAATGTCCTCTAAATTCCGCATCCCTTCCCGCCCGCCCGTCCCCAAACTTCCATCCCCTTCATAGACTTGCATCTGAGTGGCATCTGAGAAGACGAGAAGGCAATATGGAGTGATGGGAGTGAGTGCTGAAAGCTTGGCTGATTACTTGCCTGCCGTTGTCCCAGCCTGGTGCTGTAATTTGACGGTAGCAGAGACTCGGAGAGCACAGCTCAGGCTTGAAGGCAGAAAAATCCTGATGGGGGAAACATTCACTCGTTCGTTCATTCATTCAGTGCAATCTAATGATTACTGATGAGTGTGTGCTTATTGACTCTCCACCTTCTGCACAGCAATGGATCAAGGACGAATCCTGGGCCAGCCAAGAACAGTCAAAGTCAAATATATTCATACAAGTTACATAGATCAACCAATCAAAGCTATTTTCTGTTCAGTGCTGATTTTTGCTGCGCTGTTCGTTTGTTTTTCTTCTTCTTTCTCTTCTGGATCTGATTTCACTTTTTTTAAGCTTTGTTTAAACTACCGTTCTCCTTCCAAACCGTCAGTTTTCAAGCTTCTGCTCTTATTCTCGACAGGTCTGACCCCTCGATTGCATCTTTGCAGACATGGATCAAGGACGAGTCCTGGAGCACGAAAGTCAAGGACTCTGCTGGCTTCCCGGCCTTCGCTCTGGTCAACCGAGGAACAGGCAAGGCTCTGCTCCATCACATCGAGGCCCCAGACAGTCCGGTGAGCATTCTTCAATCTCCTTGGGATTTGACTCGAACTTAGGCGCCCTGAAAACGAGTCTTTCACCAGCATTTTGTGTTCAGTGCTGTGGATATTCCCCTCGTGTATGCTTTCTCTCGTGCCCATCGAAGTAAAGAGTGGATGCTCTTTCCCTTCTTGTGGCCCAGGCGTGTTTTCTTCTATGTCATACATAATTCATGTCGATCGCGGTACTACTCAGATCGGTCTATGCACTGACTGGGAAAGACTTTCATTGGAATGGCAAACCTCCCGAAAGACGTTTCGCGGTGCACATCTGTCCTGTTCCCAACAAGCACAGATGTGTAATTGAGCTCACATCCTTACGGCCCCATAACCGAGGCAGTTTCCGTCTGGTACCAGAAACTTGGCACAAAGATCTTGATGCATGGGACTCGGAAGACATATGATCATGGTCTATCATAGCTTATTTGGTCCGAAACCTAGAGTCCCAGGAACCTGATGTCTTCTGGCTTTGCGTCTGGATTTTATCGTCCGATGCTACGTAGGACGAGAATGAACAGGAAGGAGTAAATAACGAAAATCTGGATGTATCTGCCCAATTTGGTGACATTTCTTCGTGCAGGTTATGGTGGAAGATTATGAGATGAACGTCCTAAACGAGGCAGTTCTGTGGACGGCCAGCAAAGACGTGGGCAATGGTTACAGAGCAATCCGCCCAGTGAGCAACATTCACCTCAATCTTGACGCTGACCACGGATCTGAGAAGTATGGTGGTGTCAAGGATGGTAACAAAGTGATCCTGTTCAAGTGGAAGGACGAGCCCAACCAGCACTGGCACATGGCACCCGTCGGTAAGTACGCAGCAGCTGATGATTTGACCATTGCATCCATCAGCCTTGTCTCTCTCCACTAATCGAGCGGAGAAGAGGGCTCTTCAATAATTTAATTCTCCACTTGTGACATTCAGTGCTCAGTGTCAGTCACGAGATTCCGCCGATTACGATTTTAAGCTTCCTGTGAAGATGATGTCGACAGGAAATAGTCCAATTGGTAGTATATAGAGCTGCATAGTGTTGACGTTGCAAAATCAGAGGGAGTGTCGTGTGAAAGTGTTATACATTACTAATTACGGTGCTTTGATCTTGACTCTCGAGACGGAGATCGGAGACCCGCTACTTAAATATCGTGTCGTGGTTCTGCCTGCTGCGTTGCACCGCAGGTCAAGCAGATAGTTATGGTGCCACTCGGGCTGATGAGGGAGAGGGTCCCACCGAGTCAGAGGAATTCTAACCGCATTTGGCTGATGCAGAACTTCAGCGTGACCACCATTACCGTCCTCAAGAGTACGAGTATGAGCGTCGTCCAGTTGACCATCACTCTCGTTCACACGAACGCGAGTATGAGCAACGACATGACCATCACTCTCACTCTCGTGAACGGGAACGTGAATATGAGCGTGAGCATCACGGCCAATCGCATCACAGTCATTCTCACCCCGGCTATTACTGAAACATCTGCCGCTGCCGCACAACTGCTGGAGCCTTGGGGTCGCGTGTTATCTGAGCTTTTACCGTCGGAGTGTAGACCATACCCTCCATATCTTGGACGAGTCAGATAGCGTTTTCGAGCTTCAAATGCGTGTAGAATAGGCCGGGCTTCTACCTTTTACTGCAGTGTCGGATGTATACTTTGCGTTGGTGTCTGCTTGAAAAGGTGAGCATAGGATTGTACATTGTGTACCAAATTTCAGCTTCGTTGCTCCGAGGGAATGACTGACTGGCTTGTATATTAGTTTTCCGAGGCTCATATGGTCGACGCTTATAAATGCATCTTCCTAGAAAGACGGGAAAGAGCTGGCAATTATGCTTCTCATTTTCTCCCGCTTTTCACTCTTCTTGAGATTTTATAGCACAAACGTCATATGTTCGCAACTTTTACATAAGGAAGTTATGGATCTATTAAGATGACGAAATAAATTTGATTTAAATGAAATGTCCAGACCGGCGAAACGAGCATGTATTTATTTATATTTTTCCTTGCAGCCAATTATGACAAAACTATTATTGACTAACTAATTTAATTTTCAAATTGTCTTTATAACGTTCAAATCGTCACTATATTTACCAATTTTGTCATATCTATACATTGTGTCTTTACTATTATGGTAACTGTGCAAGATTGTTAACATGCAATGATACTGCACTTGAACATTATTTCAGCCCTGCGGACATGCAAACGCACGAGTTGAAAGCCGTAAAATTCGTAAAAAGCAACAACTGCCCAATTAACTTTCTGTTGCAACGATAAACACAATGAAGATTTTAACGTCCATATGTGAAATTAATAGAATACGTACATATATACAATACATACAATATATATATATAAAAAAAACTAAATAATTACCATAAACTACTCTCCAAATTTCCGCTACATACCCTGCTGTGTACAATTCCTTCTACAGTACTAATGCAGACCTGGTTGATGGGTAAGTTTCCATCATACGCTTGTTGGCTCATTCGACCCCGGACAATGTTAGCAGTATCTCTAGTTCTGAAATCTTGTAAGTTATGATTTCCGCGAAACAAAATGTATACCTGACCTGGTTGGTTGCAACGTTTCCATTAGACGCTTCTTTGCTCTTTCAAATTAAGGCCATGTTTCCCTATGTCGAATGCTTTGAGAGACGCAAAGTCGGGACAAGATTCCACCAACGTAAAACAGAAGGTCAATGCGTCAGAATGACATAATGTCCATATCGATATTACAAGCGAGAAGAATTCAGGCAATACCAAGACATGCTCCGGTGCATTGATCAATATTCCACTTCGAGAATCAACAAGTAGACCGGGTGCAACAATATTTCTCGCAAGGCTACTTTCTCAAATGGTCGCTGAAATGTATTACGGCATTCTCTCAAGGTTCAGGACCACATAATATCAATTCAAATCGACATTGGTCGACATATAAACTAACGGACCTCATCAAAAGCCTCATTTCTTCACTGAAACACCGATTGCAGAAAGTTTCTATCTACAGCCATCAAGTTAACTGAAGGAACTGACCTACCTGAGAGTAGTACTCTTAGAAGGTATTGACTCCCAATACTTTCCCAAAGCTGCCAAGCCCTCGTCATAATTCAATGCTTTGAATCTCACCTCGGTACCACGTTGCGCAGACGATGCTGTACTTTTTATAATGGAGATCAAACCTAATTCTAGTAAGGTGTTGATAGCATTATCCACCGGCATCTGAGTCTATGAGACCACAAAGTAGCCACAATTATCAACTGAAAGCATTGACTATATTATGCATCAGTCACGAAAAAGTTGGTACCGTCACATTCCTCATTGACAAAGCAAAACAGTAGAAGTTCTGTGTATAGCATCCCGTGCCTTCAGTCTTAGATTGATATGATTATAAGCATACTTCCATGTGAATTTTTTTTACTGTGATATCTGGGGATGGAGAGCAGGATGAGGGACAGCATACCTGCTCTTTGCATCGGTAGTACAAAAATCGCTCGCAAGCATTCGCAAGCTGTTCCTTGGACATTCCCTAATCATAGAATTATAACATAACTCTCGATTAAGCTTCTGAAAACGTAACATCTAAACTGAACTCAAAACTATCCTTGTCACAGCCTCAAGATGATACATACTACATAAGTTGAACTGTGATAGAAAAGTATGTAGCACATTGTTTGTGAAATCTGGCTATATGGCAGTTTAGACAACAAGCAGCTCTGCTTCTGTGACCACGTTGGCAAGAAGTGGGGATCTTGTTGCCCAACTCAGATTTAAAGAGAAAAAACAATTGGTACGAAGAAAAGGTCTTCAGTAGATGCAGTTTAAAGGTGCAAACTAGCCAGTGCGCACATTAGAAGCCATTAAGTCAAGGTTACGGGAATGTCCGTCAGATAAGATTTCCAAAGACAATCCTGGGTTGCTCTGCAGCAGTTCTTTCAGAGAGCTCGTGAGGCAGCTGTTATCAACCGACGGTAGTTTACTCGAGTAAGGATGCAGAGTAAGTCATAGAAATTATCAGTTTCTAGTTCGATTACTTTACGAACCTGTCCTGTTAGGTGGAGAAACAACTATCTCGACTGCTGCATGTAAAACTTTACAGCTTGGAAGTGCAATTGCTTCTAATTATGCTCACTGTAGTAAAGACGCGTCCTCGAAGAAATCAGATTAGGCTCACTACTCAATATGCATTCATTACTTGGCAAGATCTGATTTATATATGATCCACTTGCAAAGATGGCATAATTCACATGAGAGCAAATAGAGGGTAGCATAACTTACGTCAACCTTGTACTGGTGTGAAAGGACAACAAACACCAATATCGCTTCCTTTAACTGCATATTCAGAAGATTATGAAGGGCTCTGTTAATATTCAAGCTTTGAACTTCAAGTTTTCCACCTCACCTTCAATGTAAAGATAATGAGATTGAACGAGATGTAGTAACTCGTTCAATCTCAGGTAAGCAGAAACTTCGTTCGGACCTTGACGTTAGGGAATGAAAAGTACAACATACCTGTTGTTCTTCTGATGCATCGAGCAGGAAATGAACCACCCCAAATCCATTCGCTAAAGTCTTCTCGTACAAGGTTTTATTTACTAGAAGCTGGATCCCCAAGAAACAGTGATATTTATTATAATCTGGCGACTAACGCATCCACATGCTAAGAAACACAGAGAATGTGATAAGAAGGCTAAGGAAAGAGAATGTTGGATTCTTTGACTCTTCTCCTTTCATTTAGTGTATACAAAAGTGGCATGCACTTTCTCAAATAAAATCTAATCAGATTAATCAGAGGACATGTGACATATACACTAATCAAAGTCCACCTAATTACTGTCGATGTTTGAAACCGAATTTTATACAAATTGGATAAACTTCATAAGTCCGTAAACTAAGTTACATATCAAACTAGACCATGTGATGAAGAAGATTTTGAGGCAAGAGTTGTAATATCTAATCCTATGTCGAAGTCAAGGCAAGTCACGTGAAATCATCTCATTAAGTATATCTTGCCACTGATCTTCTCTGGCAAAAGATACTCTATGAGGTGATTACTTTACTGCCTGAGTAAAGCAAAACATGAAGCTTTCGAACTCGATTTCAATTCTGGACACACTGAATCAAAGACCTAAACCTTAGTGGCTGATGATTCCTCAGTCACAAAAGTAACCCTAAAGTGAATTTTAATTACTTCTTATAAATCAATCCAATTTATACTTAAAAGGTTAAACCGATACAAACCAAACTTCAAATCCATCACCTGATACCGATCCCAAGTTTGCTTGTAGCCTAAAGCAGCCCTTGTCACGAAGACCAAAAGTGCTGTTATGGCGATGACATCGAGCGTAAAGGCCGACCTACATTCACCAGATAATAAAACCCCAAAACCCTGTATTAGAACAATCAGATTCAATGCACACTTACTTTACAGCAACTTTCGAGGCATTCCAAATTCGACAAGATGAATGACAACAGCATGCATATTCTTACGTTCACAGTTAGTGCTACTCACGGGGAACTGAAGAAATCATCGAAGTGATAGTTATATAGAAACGCAGTGAGCCCCACAAAAGTCGTTAAGTCAAGTCGAACCTATGAACACAGAAGAATTGAAGCTAAGATGTAAGGATGCCCACATTTCTTTGTCACGCAAGATATGCAAAAGCTCTAAGGTCATTCAACTACAGTAAGAAGCAGTAACTGTGTCCAAAAGGCCCATTGGTGATTCTACAGATGCACGTCATTCACCGTCTTTCTGCAGTCGTTGATAACCAGAATGGGCTAATATTTCAGCTTGTTTATTTGACTACTGCTCTTTGTTTTTAAGTCTACACTTCTTCTCATTTTAACTAGGTACAAAATAAATTAACTTCTTTATTACAGGTCATTACTGTAATCTAGCTTCGCTGACTGAAGACGTTTATCCTCTATTCAATGAAAGGACACTTTGCAGCAGAGAGGTTGAAACTTTGCATTTAAACTAGGAAAAAGGTAATTCCAACGACGGACTCGTGCATCGAGTTGGATTGCTTACAAGATCAATAAGGCGAAAGGAAAGCCTCTTGCTCGGAAAAACAATCTGTAGCAACGCAGTGATTAAAAACAACACATTAGCAAATGCATGATGTACCTTACTTTGCATTTAAGGAAGAACGATGTGTTGATGGGTTCTTTTCTTCTTTAGGAGTTGACTTAACCACATTTGCAGCACATCACATCTTTCTAACAGTTTCGCAAACTTTGATTAAGAAATAATATTTTCCCATCGGCACTGTCCTCATACTTCCTCGTATAGACTAAAATATTAGCATCCGTAGACTCTGCCTATCACAGACTGAAGAACGTAGACCCAACCTCCTGGCTCAGCTATTTAATTGGTAACACATGGAAGTAAGATGGGATTGAGAAGAAGACTGCTTGATGGTGAAGAGTGAGTCCCTTGAAGTGTGAAATTCATCCCGTGAGGTCCTTTCTTAGATAGCAAGTACTCTGTACAGAAACTGTTCACTAGCCTCTACTCATCCAGCTATACTTTCTTGGCCATACGAAGTTTGACTAAGGCAGCTTCTTTGGTCTTAGAATCAAGTAATAGTGTTAACTCCGAGGATGTTCCTGATACCGCCAGCTGAGAGAACTCGTGGAGATTGTCGGTTTCACACTGTCAAAGGAGCTGTATTACACTAGACTACACCAGTGATTCGTCCTCAATACGACGAGTGTTCAAGTAGCGGGGTGGTTCCCCGTCTTACCCTACTTTTGGTTAAGCAGGATGAGTCCCAGCCTGTAATTGAACTTCAGCCTTGCGCCGAAGCAAAAAACCTTCAAAGTAAAAACCTCCTACTTTGATCTTGCTCCCCAAGATCAAAGTAGGATGAAAATACGAACAGAACTGCTCAACGAGGAAGTCTAGTTCTTGAGACTGTAACCGCGTAAAAGCTGTTGGGGAACTTCTACAGATTGTGACTGATATAGACGAGGACATGTACCTTGAGGTCAGGAAGTGGAATCGTTTTGTACATTTTCAGTTGCAAATCAGATGGTTCAGACTGTTGAAGGCCATCATCAGTGTAGAGAAGAACCAACTCCTGGAAGGCTGGTTCCTGCGTGTCCAAATTGAGGTCATCATGAAGAGATTAATTAAACAAACAAACACGTTTCAAGATATCCATCACATTCCATCAGACGCATATTCGAATTGTTGAGTTCTTTAACCAGCCTGCTCGATTGATTTCAGCCACAACTCACAACCAAGGATCTGTAAGACCCGAACTAGGGCATTTTCTTATGCTCCACCGAACTCTCCATCTTTCATACCTGTAAAGTTACTCTCGAGAAAAATACTGAGAAGGCTGAGCATAATCTCTTCCAAACGTTCTTCCCCACAACAGTTTTCGATGCCGGCAACCATATGTCTTTCATCGAGACTCTCAATAGAAAATTTGGCCTGATAAACAGTAATAATCACAGGGAACTTCGTGAACATGATCTTAAGAGAAGGTAGACCAGCGAGAAATACACATTCACGACATGGAACAGAGTGAAGAAATATCATTCTGTTCATGGCTTCAGTCCAGCAGGTCCACGGTCATCACAGCACTACTCAGTCTACAATTCTCCTAACCAGCATTGAAATCAAAGTGGATCTGTGTGTACGTGAAAAAATCATCATTCCTCAAGATGAGACGAGAGCCGAGGCACATTTCTTTCTGACAAAACAAAAGCCACCTCAGTGACCTCCCCAAGCGGGTCATATTGAAACACTTTAATCTCCGTTCCTTGCCATCAGCTGCGTATTATCCGGCTGTGTGCACAAGTTCGTATTAACCATTGTGCTTGAAAACTACGGTCCAGATACAAAGAATAGGAATAATCTGACATGAGATGAAGGTATGATTCGTACCTAAGGTGAGGCTCAACAGCAGTTGGATCTTCATCAGCAACAGGAGGTGAAATGGAATCAGACGGCAAGAGCCCCATACGGACCAGAATGCGACGGAGCAACAATCCCCGTGATCCTACTGAGGACAAAACGGCCTCGTAACGTGGTAAAGCTTGTTGAGCAGCTTTCCAGATAGGCATGTCCGTGTCAGACTCATCGGTCTCATACTCTGCTTGCGTCGGTCCTTCTGAAGTGTTCTCACCATCCAGTGGCAGCGGCTCTTCGACCCAACGTTCAAGGCTTTCTGCCAAAAATCTTCCTTCTGGATCATTCCTCAGACTTTTCCAAGTCTGAAGTAACATTTTCACAAAGTTTTAAGAGAGTCCCATAGTATGTGCGTACTAAAAATCAAGAATCAGTCCTAGCAAATGCAATGATGAATGACAAGCAGTTGATAGATATGTGGAATGTATGCTATCGCAGAATCTGCAGCGGATCAGCGACAATCTACGGATTGACTCATTACCAACAACCTGTCTCTTTTCTTGCTTCGCTGGAGCAAAAACAGAGTAACTACAAAGTACAGACCTTACATGGAGCTTCCCTATAAGAGACTTGCACAAACTTTGGAACGCTTTACCGACCTATTAAGAGATCAAGCGCGTTTCAAAATCTAGAATAGGCTCCATCAAACACAAATGCATATTGATGCATCAGGTCATGTCCCAATTTTGTAAAGCAACAAGATGATTAGTCCTAGAGGCTTCAAAGGGTAAAAATATACTTTCATGAACCAGTGGCCTGTAATCAGAAGTGGTCCAGTCAACCCTTTGAATACTTCTCTAAGAATAGTAGACTGCAAGTAATCGAATTTTGCTCCTAGAAGAAAGCCTTTTTGTTGCTCCTTAGCATATCCCCTCCTGTCGCACAAACATAAACCTCAAAGGTGCTTATTAAACTGCTAGCTGTATTTCAGAGGCATCAGGGCTTATGCCAGTCAACGAGGACAAGCATAAACGCGAAGACGGTAAGAATGCCAGCATTGAAAACTGTACTTCGGAAACGAACAATCTTTTCGTATCTTTATACCTTCTCCATGAGTATAGTCTGACTGGACTCAGCCTGTGGTTAACATATAATTTGGAGATTTATACACTCCATGTCTACAAAGTGATTTACCTGTAAATAATTGCATTAGACTTAGAAGCACGCTTCCAGTCCACAGCAACAGGAAGGGTCAAGAGGTAGTCAGAATTAAGAGCTGCCGTCAGCTCCAGATCCTGAGCTGAAAGGCCTTCAAACTGAGCACTTTTTAGCAATTTCAGAAAATTCTTCTGAAAGCGTATTGCTGATGAAGTTCTGCATAAAAGTAGAGTTCAATTCATGCAGACCAAATCAGACATGCATAAAAAACACATTGTCTGGTCAATCGTCATTATCTGTAAATCCGAATCGAAGAGCAAAGCAATTCATTATCAACACTTCCGTCACATTTCCACTCTACAATTTTTACTCTCATTACACCTTTCTACATTTAACTACTCGTTCATATTGAGATTGTCAACCTTGTACCAAAGATTGTAAAAGGACCTCATAGGTTGAGAGGAAAGTCTCCAGTACCTTGTTTCCTCATCCTTACTCCAGTGGTTTCCAAGAAAAGTATCACCCTCACTTTCGGGCCCTGTATCCTTCCGCTGTTTAAATGCATCTATAATTTTCGAGCCCCAACCCTTCCCAACAGTCCCTTCCGGGAATCGGTTGTCCACTTCCGGTGGATCGTTCAAAACTTTGGTATCTGGTGGTAGATCACAATGAGAAGGATGAAGTTGTTCTCCATCTGTACCATCCGACTTCACCCCGCTGCGTCTTGTCCAACTTGTTGTCTTTTTTGCAGTGTTAGCTCCTTTTGTACTGTTACCCATCCGTAAATCAAGGCTACCTCCATCCGTGGTGGAATGCGTGGCCAAGTAGTCGGCACGAAGCTCCTCGAGCAAAAATTTATGGTTTGCGTGCAGAACCAGCTCCAAATAGCTGCAAAAATCCACATGATTGTAAGATGCTCACCTAGGAAAGACGGTCGTCTCCTTCCAGGTTGTATGAGAAAGGTGTAGATTTTTTCAACAGGCCAATATATGCTGAATTTATAAACTTACGAGCAAAATGTTGATATTTTTTTTGGATGCTGACCGGGGAACATCAACAGTGCACTTAAAAGCTCTGATTTGGGCACGCGAATGTATCTCTGTCTTGGTACGATTATTCTCGTTACATACTCAACTTCCTCAGTCTCATCGAGAAGATTTTCCAAACCGAAATCATCCATTCCTTCTCCAAGCCTCGTCTCTGATGCCTCATTGTCAGATGCGTCATATCCACTTTGTTCAGATTCATAATTACTTTCTTCAAAACCAGGACGCTGGTCTAATCTGTATTTGTCTCTTGAATTTTCTTCACAACTTGCCTCGTCATTATACGCTCTCCGTGGCGACTCAGAATCCTCTTCGTAATTTACAGAAGGAGAGCGAAGTTTTGCAGGCCTAGCTTTGCCTCCGAATTCCTGTTGGTCACCTGTCAGCCCGCCAGAAGTTGACAAATTCCCCAAAAGGCTCTCACCGAACTTCCCAACTGTTTCGGGAGTCTTTGCTTGAAAATCTTTGATGCTTTCTTTACGATCAAAGCTTTGTAGAGGCAGCTCCACCTTGTTAGAGCCTACGCTGGGGTCTTCAGAAGTTGACCTTTCCGCTCCTTCGGCTGATCTGAGTTTGAAAACATGTGAAATTCTACCACGGAGAGTAGTAGTTGACAAAGAAACCCCTTTCACTACAGAGCAAGGTTCTTCGTAAGAAAGAAGTACACGTCTACGCGTGAAGATAGGACCATCTAAGACAAACCCAGCGAATCCTTGTCGAGAAGATGTTCTGCTCGCACAAACTCTACGAGAACCGTGATTTTGTTTCTGAGCTATCGAGTGCAGATACTCGAGACTTGCTTGAGAAATTCTTGCACAGGAACCGCAGCTAGAATTCGTGAGGCATGAATCAGACCATGGAACCAATTGGTAAACTAAGCTGCTGGAAACACGACCTACAGAGGTGCATTGCGAATTCATTTCAGCAATCAGCCCACTAGTGACACACCCTGAAATTTCTGTGGCAACCAATTGCCAACATCACTGCCTGCTTTGAATTCTCGAAAATCCCAAACAATTCTTCATGACTGGCACTGCGAGCATTCCATCTGTCGCAGAAGAGGAGCAATCGCATAGACGCGATCCAAACACACGAACCCGATAAACCCTACAACAAAAAACGAACGGAGCGAGCGCTGACTGAGAAGGATCGGAAGAAGGAGACCCAATACTGGAGAGACACAAGCCAGTCTGGAAGCTTAGCTCTGCCCCGAACGAACGAGCGGACCAAACACGGGGCGAGAGGCAAAGAAAGAACAAAGGAATGAAAGGCGACTGAGGACAAAAGAGGGCACATGCCCCGAACATGCCAAATGCCGAGACGCGATTGACGATCGGGTCAGACAATCTGAAGCCGGCAGACATCCAAAACACCACTTTTGAGATGAAGACCACTCAGATTCTAACCACTTCCTGCTCGCTTCAGTGAGCCTCTTCGTTGCATGCGAATTAGTGTCGTGTGTCATCGTTAACACTGCCCACCACTTGGCCTTTTCTCATACACGCTTTGCGCGCGATTATATTTGGCGTCTGTGGCGCGTGTGGCTGCGCATCTTTCACTCCCGGATTTCGAATTCGAATTACCTTCTTCCCATGTTGGGCGTCGGCGGACCTTTGTCCGCCTACGTCAGCCAGCCAGCCAGCCAGCCAGTAGGCGATCTAGAGTCTAGACCCACTGATAAATATTTTGACCGCGCAGTTTCTCCCATCAATCGACCGACACGACATCTTGATCTTGATCGTCGAACGTGATCGCACTCGTTAGAAGAATGACTTGGGACGACCGCATGAGTGCTTCGCGAATCCCGCCGCGATAGCTTCATCTTTCGCTCGCTTTGACTTGGCCAAATTTCGGATTCCTCACGGTACAGTGCTCTGAGCTTCGACCCTCCTTTTTTTTCCCGTCCATCCTCGCTCAGGAATCTACTGGCACTTGAGCCTCGACCGAGAAGTACCATTAGGATGGCTCATCGCAAAACCGATGCAGCCAAGAAAATAAAATTTCCCAATTCTTTGCTTCTCTTGTTCACTAAGTTCAATTTTGTTGGACCTTTCAATTGCATCTCACATTGTCGGATTCCATCGTGTTAGTTCCTCTTTGATCCCACTTTTTAGACTTCCAACTCGTGGTGTTACTTTCCTTTCTTCTTGGTCTCAATTCTTGGCGTGCCATGGCAGAGGATTCTGTTTGTGTTGTGGATCTTTGCCTGGTTTTGGTAACCTCTCATCTTTCGTGTTTCAAAAACGCAATTTTTTCTTGTATTCTAAACGTGGACTTTTTATCCAACCTGAATTGACTCTCGCTGTGCAGGTTCCATCTATTCTAGATGTAATCCCGAATTTTACATGTGGATGCCCTCAATTTCATTGTTCACATCGACATCACTCTCTTGATTCTTTTAACTACAAAATGTATAACTACAAAACATGTAAATTTACTTTTCTATGATGAAAGTGCTTAGATTATTTTTCAATGATCTATGTATGGTCTAAGTATTTCCACTGCTTGTGGTGTCACCAACCTCAATACTTCTCCCAAAAGTGGTTTTTTACACACAACACATTAGTGTAAAAATATCTCTCACACGTTGATTCAATATTCAGATATCTAATTTGCAATTTTCTAGCATTTATATAATGTATATGTAAGAAAATGAACATTGCCTAGACAATATTTTAGTCAACTTAAATGACTAAACAATTATCAATGTTACAACTTAATGAGATATCAATCATACTAGAATAATTTATTTTTCATTTTTTCTCGTGTTGTTAATCGTCCATGGTTTCATTAGCTTTGTTTTTTCAAACTGTTGATTAGTGTCTAAGAGATCTCATTTTTAACTTTATCAAGTATAAAACATGATTTGCATACAGGGAAGGAAGTTCCATCTCCATCTTGTTATGTTCAGAAAGTTCATAGGTAGATGTAAAGCGTTGTAACTGTCAAAAAATATATTCACGGAGTCATGATTTAATCTCATTTGGTGTAGACAAGTATCTCACCTAATTGATTCTTTTGTTGGAATTACACACTCAGATTCTGTACTGGATTGAGATATGCATATTTGTAATGGACATCTCTAACTTAAGCAATTATTTTATGTGTAAATACATATTTAGTCGTATCTATCATCTTATGCAGATTTTGTTCTTAGTTAAAATATGTATAATCAATCAATGATTTTAAATTGTCTAGTTTTGCATCAAACACAATATTCATAGAAATCCATAGTATTATGAGTATGTTTGTAACAGAATCATTCAAATGGTTGATGACATTTATTTTAGTCATGATCAAATTCAGATAATTATAATTAGATTCATCTATTAAGTCTATACTTGACGGAATATCCTTACATATAGATGAGCATATAAATATAAAATAATCAAAGATTAATATCCAAATCAAGAAATTCTTTTAGTTCATGTTACTTTGTTTTTGCAATAAAATATGAACTTCATTAAGTGCCAAGTTAAAAATCCAGAAGTTTCAAGGTCCCCAATAACATAAAGCTATCTCAACGTGTAGACAATAAAGTTTCTAAAATATCAAAGTAGATTAATTGCATGTTATCATGTAGTTTTTTAGAAAATATTAGTGATATCTATAAAAATTAATATATACTGAAAGTAAGTTTTATGGTGTTATCATTATGTATCATAAGAGTATAGATAGAGAAATAGATAAAAGTCTTCCTCTGATGTTTGAAAATTTGTATAAGATCTTGTTACATGAACGAAGAGTTCACCTTTTGGAAGTATCTTTGATTGATTTTGAGGACTTGTAATGAGTGAAAATATGTTCAACTACAAAATATGAAATAACGAATACCTTATATGTCTATGATGAGACACCACCTAAAAGGCATATGGTTTAACCTCAGTGACGAATAAGCTAGGAGATCATCAACTAAAATCCAACCTAACCTTAAGATATTTGATAATACACTTCAAATGATGACAAGTAGAAAAATGAATTGCCTAGGTCATTATGTACATCTCATAAATCTTCTTAGAACCATACAATTCAACTTCACAAGTAGTTTGCAACTTCTTTTTCAACACACAATGCTCATAAAATTCTAATTATTACATTGTAATATAGAGTTGAATGTTTTTATCTGTGGTGTCTAGTTTTTTTTTTGTTTTCTTTAAAAATGAACAAAACTAAAAGATATTTGTTGTTAGAGTTAGAAATGAGCAGCTCCTAAGGAGAAATGATAGAATTCGTCTACGTCCGAAGATCTTCAGATCTTTGTGTCTTCGGCGTAGACTTTTTTGGACGTGCGAAGAGCTACGTCTTCGGCGAAGACATCGGAATCAATTTCAAATCACGCAACAGGCCGGACGACGTTCGCACAAGTCGGGAGTTCTACTAGACGCGAGAGGAGGCAATGTTGGGGCTTTGAAGGTAAAGGCAGTACGAGGAGTCTTCGCGCCGACATTGCGATATCGAGCAAGAACGAGCGAGAGAGAGAGAGGAAGCAAAATCGATCCACTCGCGAGTAGCGAAACGCAAATTGAAGACATGGCGCCCAAGAAGAGTGACAAGGTGAGGAAATTGGTTCCCTTGAAGATGCCTTACGAAGAATTGCGACCGTTCAAACGCGAGCTGAGTGAATTGCGGCTTGAATTCCTTTTGTGGAATTGGAATTGCGTCTCGGCGAGTATCTGCAAGGAGGTAATGGACAAGAGCACGACCGAAGGCCAGGAGCTCCGCGGTAATCCCATGCTGTGGACCATTGAGTATTGGACGAAGGTAATGGGACCGTGTGCGGGCAGCGACGGAGATCTTCTATTTGAGAAGAATAGCGTAGGACTTACACGCGGTGAGGAATTCTCTTACGGGCCTCCCTTCGAGTCTGGAAGACAGGGGACTAACGGATGGAAGACTGTCGATTATAAAGATCCGAAGAGAAGGGCGGTCGCTTTGGCAATTATGCACATCTTGCGACCGGCGCGCACGACTTATGTGACGGCCTGGCAAGTAGGGTTCTTCGTACGCATCATGAAGGGACAGCGAGTACATTGGGCAAGGATCTTTTACAATCTCGTCTTGGTGAATGCGAGCTCCCGGTGGACGGGACCTTTGACCAATCATATCACTCCCTTTCTGGTGAATTTCTATTGAGGAATGGGGTTGCTTACGAGGGGAGAAGAAGCGATTTCCGAGAGAGCGGGAAATCTTGACAGTTGAGTCTAGTGAAGGGACCGAAGACTAGAACCGACCCCCCTCAATCCCAACACATAGGACAGCCCGAGGACCAGTTCAGGTGGACGTGGTGCAGAGACGGGAGAAGCCAGAGAGACGATTGGCGAAGAGAAGGAAGGTAGTGAGTGATGACGAGGAAGAATTGGCCCACGAGGTAAGAAGGGTGGACATGGATGTAGATGGAGTGAGGGAGCCGAGAGCGCGCGCAAGACCAAAGAAGAGGGCGAATCGGAGAATGATGATAGCTGAAGTGTCGGACAGTAGCGTGGAGAAGACAGTGGCAACAATTGTGAACACATCCAAAGTCGCAGCTAGCGAGGTGACGCGGCCTGTGGAGACAGGAGTACCTTCGGGGGTGTCAATCGAAGTCCCAGCAAACATACCGGCAGAACCTTTGAAGGAGTGAACGGAGTTGATAAGTCCGATTTCTCTGTCTTCGGAGTAGACACAGTCTGCGCGGAGCGAAGAAACACCACAACTGAAGATGAACGAGGACCTAGAGAAGGAGTCCACTTTGAGCGAGGAGATTCTGGGGCAGGTTGTCGCACGGATTGGAGGGACGGTGGTAGAGGCCGAGGGCATTACACGGCCGACATCTCCGATGGAAGAGATGAGACCCGAAGAAGGGAAGAAGGCTTCGGGTGAAGACGTGAAGACATTGGAAGTTACATTTCCTGAATTCTTGCATGATAGTGTAGTTCCGTTGTTGAAGTATTTGGATGGGAAGAGAGGGAAGTATGCCGTATCGAAGGAGCCAAGATTTTATGTACAGATGATTAGGAACATGACGAAGCTCAAGAGAGCAGTTGCAGTAAAGAGGGAGTGGGATTTCGCGACTGCATTGGCACGGGAGCGAGCCGCAACCTTGTCAACCGAGTGCGCGGCTGTGAAGGCGACATTGCGAGAGCGAGAAGTCCAGCTTCGAGAGAAGGAAACTGAGTGTGAAGTGCTGCAGCTGAATCTAGAGAAAGAATCCGGGCGATGTGTAGAGTTTGAAGAGACCTGTGGAGTACTTTGTACCTCTAATGAGAATGCACAGAAAGTAACAGTGGATTTGATGGCAGGATTGGAGAAATCTAGAGAAGCTTACGATGCAGCAGTCAAAAGGTCGGAGCGGTTGATCACCACAGCAGAGAAGCGAGAGAAGAATTACATCGAGGAACTTGCTAAGTTGGAAGGCCGAAGAGCCGAAGAAGTTCGTATCGCCGAAGAACTTCGGGGCAAAATCACAGAGGCGAAGACGGCGGAAGAAGATCTTCGTAGCAAAATTTCGGAGATTGAGGCGAAGTGTGAAATGGAATTCCGACGTGCGGAGTAGCTATCAGCAAGTTTGTTGGCGGGAAACCAGAAGCATGAAGAGGAGTTAGCGGATTGGGCCAAGAAATTTGCGGATTGCGAGTCGGCCAAGTCTTTGGAGGCCGAATGTAAATTAAAAGTTGAATCTGACTGTTGACAGTTACGGGAGCAGTTAGGGAAGGCGGAGATGAGATCGCAAGAGTCGCAGAGAAGAATGGAAAGGGCATAGAAAGCCTACCGTCAGCTACGGGAGGAGTCAACCGACAAGTTGAAATTATGTTTAGAGAAGTGTCTTAACGGGTTCGCGATGTGGGGATTGCAATCGGTGAAGTGGCTGAAGTTAGATTCACTCGAGCGACGGCTGATGAGTGCGAATACCAGCGGATCCG